GTTGGGGCTCCCTGGGGCACCCCAGGGAGGAGGTTTGGGGGTTTGGGATCCTCAGGGTACCCCAGAGAGTGGGACTGGGTTTTGGGAGTCCCAGGGCACCCCAGAGAGGGGGTTTGGGATTCCTGGGGAGGGGTTTTGGGATCCCCGGGGTACACCAGGGAGGGGATTTGGGGGTCCTGGGGTACAGCAGGGAGGGGAATTGGGATGCCCAGGGATGATTTTGGGGTCCCAGAGTACCCCAGGGAAGTTTTTGGGATGCCCAGGAATGGGTTTGGGGTTTGAGGTGCCCAGAGATGGGTTTGGGATTCCCAGGGATGGTTTTGGGGTTTGTGATTCCCAGGGATGGTTTGGGGGTCTCAGGGATGGCTTTGGGGTTTAGGATGATTTTGGAATGCCCAGGGGTGGTTTCAGGGTCCTGGGGTACCCCAGGGTAGATTTTGGGGTATGGGGTCCCCAGGGATGGTTTAGGGTTTGAGATGGTTTTGGGGTACCCTACGGATGGGTTTGGGGTGCCCAGGGATGCGTTTGGGATTCCCGGAGTACCCCAGGGATGTTTTGGGGTACCCTAGGGATGGGTTTGGGGTCCCCAGGGATGATTTTGGGGTTTGAGATGGGATGGGATGCCCAGGGATGGTTTTGAGGTTTGGGATTCCCAGGGAGGGGTTTTGGGGTTCTGGGATGCCCGAGGGATGGGTTTGGGGGTCCCGGGATGCCCCAGGGATGGCTTTGGGGTACTCCAGGGATGGTGTGGAGGTTTGGGATGGTTTTAGGATGCCCAGGGATGGTTTTGGGGTCCCGGGGTACCTCAAGGATGGTTTTGGGGTTTGGGATATTTTTGGGGTACCCCATGGATGGTTTTGGGGTGCCCATGGTTGGTTTGGGGTCCCGGGGCCGGTTGGGGGTCCCCATGGGTGGTTCTGGGGTCTCACCGGTCGCGGTCCCCCCCGCAGAGCGCGCGCACGGGAATGGCGAACGCCGCCCACACCGGATTGAGGGAATTGCGAACGACCTCGGTCTTGTGGCACAGCGTGAAACTGCGGGACACGGGGACACGGGGGGGACACGAGGGGACACGGGGGACACAGGGGGACATGAGGGGACACAGGGGGACACGGGGGACAAAAGGGGCACGGGGGAAAGGGGGACACGGGGGCGTGGGGGGGACACGAGGAGGGGAAAGGGGGACAAGAAGGACACGGGGGACACACCAGAGTCACCCCCGCCCCTCCACCAGCGCACTGGGGGTGGTTGGGACCCTCCCCCAACCCCGTGGGGACATCAGGGACACAGGGAGGGAGGGGAGACCCCCGCTCTGGGCTGAGGGCACTGAGGGTTTGGGGGGTCACTGGGGGTTTTAGGGGGGTCCCTGAATTTTTTGGGGCGGTTCCCTGTATTTTGGAGGGGGTCTCTCTGTTTTTGAGGGGGTTTTTGGGGAGGGGTGTCCTTATATTTTAGGGGGTTCCCTGTATTTTTGGGGTGGTCCCTGTATTTGTGGGGGGGTTCCCTGTATTTTTGTGGGGTTCCCTGTATTTTTGTGGGGTTCCATATATTTTAGGGGGTTCTCTGTATTTTTGGGGTGGTCCCTGTATTTTGGAGGGGTTCCCTGTATTTTTGGGGGGTTCCCTATATTTTTGGGGGTTCCCTGCATTCTTGGGGGTTCCCTGTATTTTTGGGGGGTTCCATATATTTTAGGGGGTTCTCTGTATTTTTGGGGTGGTCCCTGTATTTTGGGGGGGTTCCCTATATTTTTTTTGGTTCCCTGCATTCTTGGGGGTTCCCTGTATTTTTGGGTGGTTCTGTATATTTTAGGGGATTCTCTGTATTTTGGGGGGGGGTTCCCTGTATTTTTGGGGGGCTCCCTATATTTTTAGGGGTGTTCCTGTATTTTTAGGGGGATCCCTATGTTTTGGGGGGGGTTCCTGTATTTTTGGGGGATCCCTATATTTTTGGGGGGGTCCCTATATTTTTCGGGGGGGTTCCCTATATTTTAGAGCATTCCCCATATTTTTTAGGGCTTTCCCCATATTTTTATGGGATTCCTGTATTTTTGTGGGACCCCCTCTATTTTAGGGAGTTCCCCACATTTTTAGGGCGTTCCCCCTATTTTTGGGGGGGTCCCCGCGCATTTTGGGGGGGGGTCACTCACGTGCCATCCCCGTTGCTCCGATAGAACACCAGGAAAGGGTCGGATTTGCCAAAAAAATCCTTCTTGTCCAACTTGTTGGCACAAAATTGCAGCGTGGCCACGTCCTGGGGGGAAAAATTTGGGAGTGGGGGAGGAATTTTGGGAGCGGGGAGGAATTTTAGGGTTGATTTTTTGGGGGAAAGGTGGATTTTGGGGGTTCTTGAGGGGATTTGGTTTTAGGAGGTGAATCTGGTTTTGGGGATTTTTGGGGGTGGGAAAGCTTCTTTTAAGGGGTGGATTTTTTTTGGGGGTATTTGGGGAGGTTTTTTTGGGGGTGAATCTCTTTTAGGGGCTGTTTTTTGGGGTGAAAGGGATGAATTTTGGGGGGGGTTCTGGGAGGTGAAGCTGTTTTTTGGGGTGGAACAGTTTCTTTTTAAGGGTCTGGATTTTGGGGTGGGTTGGGGGGTGAATCTCATTTGTGGGCTGTTTTTTGGGATGGAAAAACTTCTTTTTAAGGGGCTGGATTCTGGGGGGCTTTTATTTGGGGGGCCTTTTTTGGGGAGTGAATCTTTTTTAGGGGCTATTTTATTGGGGGAGAGGGCTGGATTTTGGGGGTTTTTTTGGAGGGGGAGAATCTCTTTTAGGGGGTTTTTTTGGGGTGAAAAACCTTCTTTTTAAGGGGCTGGATTTTGAGGAACTTTTATTTTGGGTGGCCTTTATTTTGGGGGGCTTCTTGTGGGATGTGAATCTCTTTTAGGGGCTGTTTTTTTTGGGGAGAGGGCTGGATTTTGGGGGGGTTTTTTGTGGGGTGTGAATCTCTTTTAGGGGCTGTTTTTTTGGGGAGAGGGATGGATTTTGGGGGGCTTTTTTGGGGGTGAATCCTATTCTGTGGAGCTGTTTTTGGGGTGGAAAAGCTTCTTTTTAAGGGGCTGAATTTTGGGGGGCTTTTATTTTAGGGGGGCTTTTATTTGGGGGGGACTTGTAGGGTTTTTTTTTGGGGTGGTGAATCTCATTTGGGGGCTGTTTTTGGGGGTGAAAGGGCTGGATTTTGGGGTGGTTTTTTGGGGGGTAAATCTCATTTGAGGGCTGTTTTTTTGGGGATGGAAAACCTTCTTTTTAAGGGGTTGGATTTTGGGAGGGGGCGCTTTTTTTTTTGGGGGGGTGGGGTGGGAAACAAACTCCGTGTTTTCGGGGGGTCCCAAGGATGTTTTTCCACCCCCAAACTCCCCAAATTTCCCCTCCCCCCGGGGCTCACCCGGCAGTTTCCCAGCTCTTCAGCCCTCAGGATGATGGTCCCGCATTTCTTCCCGGGAATTCCCCTGCGGGGATGGGATGTGAGAGGGGGGAGGGACACGCGGGGGGTGTCCCCTCCCCCCTCCTTCAGCTCCGGAGACCCCAAAACTCACCCGCTGGAAGAGGCAGGAGCGGCTTTTCCACCCCGCGGGTGGGGGCGGTCGTGCCCATCCTGAGAGGGGGTGGGTGAAGGGGGTGAGGGGAGGGAGGAGAAAAAAGCCCCTCCCCATCCCAAAAATTAGAGGTGTTCCTTTAAAATAAACGGCCCCTCCCTCCCCGAAAAAAAATCTGGCGCCTTGAGAAAAGAAGAGTGTTCCTGTCCCTCCCCAAAAAAAACACACAGGGACCCCCAAAAAATAACCCAGAGTGATCCCCCCAAAAAAACACACAAGGATCCCTCCCCCAAAAAAATCCAGTGACCCCCCCAAAAACTCACTAGGGAACTCCCCAAAAAATCCCCACAGTGACCCCCAACCCAAAATACACAGGACCCCCCAAACACTAGGAACCCCCAAAAACATAGTGAACTCCCAAAAATACAGGGACCCCCCCAAAAACCACACAGGGACCCCCCAAAAAAAACCCACACAGGGACCCCTCAAAAATACAGGGACACCCCCCCTAAAATACAGTGACACCCCAAAACACAAGGAACCCCCAAAAACCACGGGGACCCCCCCAAAATACAGTGACCCCCCCAAATATACAGGGACCCCCCCAAAACAGCCCGGGGGTTTCTCTGGGGGGTGGTGACATGGGGACCTTTGGGGACCTTTGGGGACCTTTAGGGACACATCAGGGGTTTCTCCAGGGGGGACACACAGGGACAGGGGGACACAGGGACAGGAGGACAGGGGGACAAGGGGACAGGGCTCTCACGTCAGGGGTTTCTCCAGGCGGCCCCCGGCAGAGCCCACGATCTCCCCCAGGGTGCAGAAGGCCTGGCCCAGGAAATCCTGCGGGATTGGGGACACCGGGGGTCACCAGGGGGTCACCAGGGGTCACAGGGGTCACCAGGGGTCACAGGGGGTCAGCAGGGGTCACCAGGGGGTCACCAGGGTTCATAGGGGTCACAGGGGGTCACCAGGGGTGTCCCCAACCTGGGGGGGATGGGGCTGGTCCTTCACTCACGTGCTTGGAGAGGTCGGGGCTCTTGGAGTCCACGTCGTACCTGGGGACATGGAGGGACATGAGGGGACACAGGGGACATGTGGGGACAGGGATAGGACAGAGACGGGGACAAGGACAGGGACTGGACAGTGACAAGGACACTGTGGGGTGGGGGCTGTGCCGGGGTGACCCTCGGGTGACACGAAGGTGACACAGGGGTGCCAGAGGGTGACCCTGGGGTGCCTGGGAGTGCTGTGGAGGTGACACAGGGGTGACATGGGGGTGCCAGGGGCTGACATGGAGGTGGTACAGGTGAGCCAGGTGAGGCAGGTGCCAGGCCCCGGGGCACTCACAGGTCGAAGCGCAGGCTCTGGCGCTCCTCGAAGCAATAATCCAGCACGAACTTGCGCAGGAAGTCGGGATTCAGGGAATTGTCGATGACCTCGGTCCGGCCGAACTGGGGACACGGGGACAGCGGAGGGGGACAGGGGCACAGGGGGACAGCGGGGACACGGCAGGGACACGGGATGTGGGGATGGGGACAGGGGACTCATTCAAATGGGGACACGGGGGTGACACGGACACGGGGACCGGGCACGTGGGGGCCATGGGGACACGTGGGCATCGGGGTGGGGACACGGGGACGTGTGCGGAGGGGGTTGGGGACACGGGGACACATCACAGGGGTTGGGGACACGCACGAAGGGGTCGGGGCCGCGTGGGCGGAGGGGGCGGGCGGGGGCGGGGGACACGCGGGACAGCGGGGACAGGGGCGGGGCGGGGGAGGGGCGGCCGCAGGTGCCTCTTTGTGCCTGCGGGGCCGCCCTCCCCCGCCCCGCCCCCGCTCCTCACCCCGCAATTAACACCCGCCTAATTACGGGGGGCGGCGACGCCCGCGCTGATTGGTCGGCTGGACGCGTGCCCACAGCTGATTGGCTGCTCAGGCCCCCAAAACTGCCCAGGACACTGATTGGCTGGCTCTGTGCACCCCATCATGCTGATTGGTCGGCTCTGTGCACCCCAGCACACATTGCTCGCTGCTGATTGGCCAACTGCTTGGCCCCCAACACCTGATTGGCCGGTTGGCCAACACCCCAGGTGCTGATTGGTCGACACTCCGGTGCTCTGATTGGCGGCGGGCTGGCGCCCCAACACGCTGATTGGCCAAAACCTCGCGTGCTGATTGGCTGGCCCGCAGGGATCCCTACGTGCTGATTGGTTGGCTGAGTAGCCCCCATGCTCTGATTGGTTGGCTGAGCTGCCCCATGCTCTGATTGGTTGGCTGAACGCTCCCCGAGGTGCTGATTGGCCGCCCTCCCACCAATCAGGGCACTCACCTCCCGCCATTGGTGGCAGCCCGGGCGCTGCGTGTAGAGCACACACACTGCGGGGGGAGGGGGGTCGGGGGGGGCCCCAAAACCCCCCAAACCCCCAAAACACACCCAGGGACCCCGAAAACAACCTCGGGGACCCCAAAATATCCCCAGACTCCTCAAAACACCCCTTGGGGCTCCCCAAAAACCACCCCAAAAACACTCCCGGGGACACCAAGAACAACCTGGGGGACCCCAAAATATCCCCAGACACCCCCCCCAAAACACCCCCAGGACCCCAAAAACACACCTAAAACACACCTGGGCCCCCAAATACCCCGGAACATTGATACACCCAGGGACCCCCAAAACACCCCCAAGGGACCCAAAAACATCTCCAGGGATCCCCCAAACACCTCACAGAGACACCAACACCCCCCAGGGACCCCCAAAACACCCCCCAGGAACCCAAAAACACCCCCCAGGGACCCCAGTACTCCCCAGAGACCCCCAAAATACCCCTCAGAAACAGCAACACCCCCATGGGACCCCCAGAACACCCCCCAGAGACCCCCAAAACACCCCCCAGAGACAGTAACTCCCCCAAGAGACCCCCCAAACACCCCCCAACTCACAGGGGTCCGACTTGGAGAAGGTGTCCCTGTCAAGGAGCTGCCTGGGGGGGGAGAGGGAGAGAGGGGGTCAGTGAAAGTGATCTGAGTGATCTCTGAGTGTGAGTGTGAACTGTGTGTGAACTGTGTGACTGTGTGTGACTGTGAGAGTGTGATCCGAGTGTGAGTGTGTGAGATGGGAGTGTGTGATTGAGTGTGTGATTGTGTGAGTGTGAGTTGGGATGAGTGTGTGAGTGTGATCAGTGTGACTGAGAGAGTGAGTGTGATCTGTGGGTGTGAACTGTGCGTGAATTGTGTGTGTGTGATCTGTGATCTGAGAGTGAGTGTGAACTGAGTGTGATCTCAGTGTGATCTGTGTGTGATCAGTGTGTGTGATCAGTGTGTGATCAGTGTGTGATCAGTGTGTGTGATCAGTGTGAACTGTGTGTGAGTGTGATCTGAGTGTGTGATCTGTAACCAATGTGACTGTGAGTGTGAGTGCAATCTGTGTGTGAGTGTGAGTGTGAACTGTGTTTGTGATCTGAGTGCGATCTGAGTGTGATCTGAGTGTGAGCTGGGTGTGAACTGCGTGATCTGAGAGTGATCTGTGATCAGTGTGTTATCTCTGTGTGTGATCTCTGAGTGTGATCTGTGTGTGATCTGAGTGTGAGCACGAGCCGAGTGTGAGCAAGCAGGGGCTGTGCCTATGCCCGGCTGTGCCCCCCACACACACCGGAGGGCATGGGGGGGGTGTTGAGGGGCACAGCCGGGTTTGGGGGAGCACAGCCGGGTTGAGGGGGGCACAGCCGGGTCTCAGGGGGCACGGGGGGGTGTTGGGGGTGCCAGGACACCCCGGGACACAGATAGGGAGTGTGTGTGTGTGAGGGGGGCACAGGTGGCACGGGGAGCACCGGGGGGGGTCAGAAGGTTCAGCCCCTCTGGGGGGGTCATGCCCACGACATCCCCCACAGACACCCTGTTTGGCACTGACCTCGATACCCCCAGTGCCTCCCAGTATCTACCAGTGCCCCCCAGTGCCCCCCACTTCGTTCAGTGCCCCCCAGTGCCTCCCAACACCCTCCAGTGCTGACTGCTCCCTGCTCCCCTGTGCATCCCGGTACCTCCCAGTGCTTCCCAGGGGTTCCCAGTGCCTCCCAGTGCTTCCCAGGGGTTCCCAGTGCCTCCCAGTGCTTCTCAGGAGATCCCAGTGCTTTCCAGCACGATCCAAAGCCAGCTGCCGCTGCTCCCAGTGCCTCCCAGTGCCTCCCAGTGCCTCCCGGCGCCTCCCAGCACCCTCCAACGCCGGCTACGCCTGCACCCCAGTGCTTCCCAAGGGATCCCAGTGCCTCCCAAGGGATCCCAGTGTCTCCCAGTGCCTCCCAGCACCCTCCAACGCCACCTGCCGCTGCACCCCAGTGCTTCCCAGTGCCTCCCAGTGCTTCCCAGTGCCTCCCAGTGCCTCCCAGTGCATACCAGTGCCTCCCAGTGCCTCCCAGTGTCTCCCAGTGCATCTCAGTGTATCCCAGGGGATCCCAGTGCCTCCCAGCACCCTCCAACGCCACTTGCCGCTACACCCCAGTGCCTCCCAGTGCCCCCAGTGCCCCGCCGGTACCTGCAGGACACGGTGATCTCCACGCGGGTGGCCGGGACGGGGCCGGGGCCGGTGCCCAGTTCGGGGGAGCCCAGGCCCGCCATGCCCCGACACCGGGATCGGGATCAGCTCCGGGCTCGGGATCAGCACCGGGATCAGCTCCGGGATCGGGATCGGCTCCGCCCCCGGCACCGCCCGCGGCTCCGGCAGCGGCCCCAAACCGGGGGGACTGCCCCGGGGGCTCCTTCGGGACCGGCCCCCCCGATCCCCGGCACCGCCCCCGGCATCGCCCCCAAATCCCCGGTACCGCCCCCGGCATCGCCCCCAAATCGCCCGGCACCGCCTCCGGATCGCTCCCAAATCGTCGGCACCGCCTCCGGGATCGCCCCCAAATCCCCGGGATCGCCCCCAAATTCCCCGGCACCGCCTCCGAGATCGCCCCCAAATCGCCGGGATCGCCCCAGATTCCCGGTTCTGCCCCGCGGGTCCCGGTACCCTCCGGCACCGCCACCGCCCCAGAGCCCAGGACCCCCAGGTTGCCCCCAGACCCCAGGACCCCCCGCATCGTCCCAGGGCTGCCTCCCACCCCAGGGCCGGCTCCCGCTCCTGGTGCCCCCAGCACTGCCCCTCCCCTCCTGGTACCTGGTACCCCTGGTACCTGTACCGGGGCTCCTGGTGCCCCCAGTGCCCCTCCAGTCTTCCCAGTGCCCCTCCCCGGTGCTGTGGGGACCCCTGTGGTACCGCCCACCCCCAGGGAGAGCCTCCCAACACCCCAGTCGCCCCAGTTCCCCCAACCAGCCCCTCCCAGTGCCCCCAGTGCCACCCCTGCACCATCCCCAGGATCACCCAGTGCCTCCCAGTGCTGTCCCTGGTGCTGCACTGGGAGCTGGGGGGGGAGGGAGGGGTCACCCAGAGCCAGTGGGGGTCACCCAGACCCAGGGAGGGGACACCTAGAGCCAGGGAGGACAATCAGGGCAGGGAGGGGGGACACTCAGAGCTGGGGGGCACCCAGAGCTGAGGGGGGCCACCCACAGCATAGGGTGACACCCAGTGCTGGGGGGGACACCCAGACCCAGGCAGGGGTCACCTACAGCCAGAGGGACACCCAGAGCTGGGGGGGGACACCCAGTGCGTGCTGGCACAGGGACCCCAGTGCCAGTCTGGGGGTCCCCAGTGCCACGTGGGCACCCCAATTTTTTTGGAGGTGTGTGGGGTTTTCTCCCCAAAGGCCAGCGAGCCCACAGGTGATGGGGGAACACCCTTGGGGGGTCCCAGCACCCTTTGTGGGTGGGGGACACACACACAACACAAAGAGGGGGGCACATTCACCCCCCCAAAACGACATCCCACCAAACCCAACCTCTTTTATTCCAACTGTACAACATTTTTGGGGGGGGGGATGGGGTGGTCAGAGCAGGGGGGGTGTCCCCTCTACCCCACGGGATAGGCCTTGATGATCTTGACGTCGTCCAGGGGCCGGTCCTGGGCGTTGGTCTCCACCATGGCCAGGCGGCCCAGCACGGCCATGCCCTGGCACACGCGGCCGAAGATGCTGTGCTTGCCGTCCAGCCACTGCGCCGGGCCCAGCGTCACGAAGAACTGGCTGCCGTTCGTGTCCGGGCCCGCGTTCGCCATCGCCAGGATGCCCGCGCCTGGGGGGCACGGGGACGTGGGAGCCCATGGTCAAGGTTCTGGTGCCATGGGGCATGTGGCACCTCAGGGATGGGGGCATGGGAACACGACACACCATGGATGGGGACACAGGGGGGACAGGGACTTCAGGAAGGGGGACACAGGGACATGGGAGCTCATGGGGGAGGGCATGGGGACATGGGAGCTCAGGGGGGAGGGCACAGGGACATGGGAGCCCATGGTCAAAGTTCTGGTGTCATGGGGGATGTGGCACCTCAGGGATGGGGACACGGGGACATGGGAGCTGAAGAATGGGGGCATGGGGACAGGGAGCTCATGGTCAAGGTGTTGGTGTCATGGGGGATGTGGCACTTCATGGATGGGGACAGGGGGACATGGGAGCTCAGGGATGGGGACAGGGGGACATGGCACCCCATGGAGGGGGACACAGGGGGGACAGGGACTTCAGGAAGGGGGACACAGGGACATGGGAGCTCATGGGGGAGGTCATGGGGACATGGGGGCCCATGGTAAAGATTCTGGTGTCATGGGGGATGTGGGAGCTCGAGGATGAGGACACAGGGGGGACAGGGACTTCAGGAAGGGGGACACAGGGAGATGGGAGCTCAGAGATGGGGACATGGGAGCCCATGGTAAAGATTCTGGTGTCATGGGGGATGTGGGAGCTCGTGGATGGGGACACAGGGACAGGGACTTGGGAGGGCATGGGGATGTGGGAGCCCATGGTCAAAGTTCTGGTGTCATGGGGGATGTGGCACCTCAGGGATGGGGACAGGGGGACATGGGAGCTCAGGGATGGGGACACAGGGACAGGGAGCTCATGGGGGAGGGCATGGGGACATGGGGGCCCATGGTCAAGGTTCTGGTGTCATGGGGACGTGGTACACCATGGATGGGGACACAGGGACATGGGAGCTCAGGGACACAGGGACATGGTACCCCATGGCCAAGGCTCTGGTGTCACAGAGGACGTGTCACCCCACGGTTGGGGACATGGGGGACACGGCACCCCACGGGCAGCTCCTGAGGGTCACGGGGACACAGGGGACATGGCACCCCCCTGCCAAGGTCCTGAGGGGTCCTGGGGGAGTCTCCCCTGGCACAGGTGGGGGTCCCAGTGCCCCCCCATCCCCACTCACCGGTGAACTTGAGGTCGGGGTGCAGCTCATCCTCAAACTGCTTCCCGTAGATGGAGGCGCCGCCGCGGCCTGGGGGAGGCGGGGTGGGTCAGCGGGACCCCCGGCACGGTGCGGGGGGGTGTCCCGGGTTGGGGAGGGGTCCCGGGGGGGTCTGTGCGCTCACCCGTGCCCGTGGGGTCCCCGCCCTGCACCATGAAGTCGCGGATGACGCGGTGGAATTTGGTGCCGTTGTAGTAACCGCGCCGGCTGAGCTCGGCAAAGTTCCGGCAGGTGCGGGGGGCGTGGAGCCAGTACAGCTCCAGCACCAGGGAACCCATCCTGGAACACCGGGAATAACAACGGGAATAACGGGAATGGGAACGGGGCTGTGGAGCCAGGACAGCTCCAGCACCAGGGAACCCATCCTGGGAATAACGGGAATAACAACGGGAATAACGGGAATGGGAAGGGTCCCGGGAAATGGGGTCACCCCACTGTGACCCCCCCGGGATCAGGGCAGGGGCACAGCGGGGGAGGGGAAGGGGTCGGGGGGCAATTTGGGGGTGGGAACGGGACCCCGGGGGTGCCCGGGACCGGGAAGGGGGCCATGGACACCGAGGGGGACCAGGGGGACACCGGGGGCGGGAGGTACCGGGACCTCACGGATCACGGAGGTTTCGCGGTCCCGGGGGGGGCTCAGGGGGACCCCGAGGGCTGCCCGATCCCGGGGGGGGCTCAGTATGGAGCCCGGTGCCGGCAGTGGAGGGGTGCGGACGGCACTCCCCGCTGTCCCCGCGGCAGGGGCAGGGCCTGTCCCGGTGCCGGTGCCGGTGCCGGGGGTCCCGGTCCTTACGTGGTCTCCATGGCCACCGTCGGGGGCTGCCACGACTCGGGGGGCACGGCGGGCGCCGCCATGGCGGGGGCGCTTCCGGGACACGCCCCCTTCCTGTCACGAGCCCCGCGGCACAGCCAATCAGCGCGAGGCGCGCAGGGGAGATGGGCCAATCGGAGAGGCGGAGAAAGTAGGACCAGCCAATGGGAGCGAGGAGGCGGGGTCATCACCGCTGAGCCGCAAGGGGCAGGGCGGCTCGAATCGAGGCCACGCCCCCAGCCGTGAAGCCACGCCCCCGCGGCGCGCGGAGCGGGAGCCGAGGGCGGTGAGAGGGGGATGGGGGGATAAGGGGGACACGGGACCCTCGGGGGTCCGTGGGGTCCCGTGGGGGAACCGGCCGGGAGAGCGCGGGGGAGCGCGGGCAGCGCAGGTGGAGCCCCCCGTGCGGGGAGGGAGTGACGCGGGGTCGGAGTGCGGGGCTGGGACCACCCGGGGGGGCTGAGAGCACCTCAGTGTGGGGCTGGGGGACCCCCGGGGATGGGGCTGAGGGGCTGGGACCCCCTCGGTGTGGCTGGGGGACCCCCGGGGATGGGGCTGAGGGGCTGGGACCCCCACGGTTGGGTTGGGATGCTCTTACTGTGGGGCTGGGACCCCCAGGGATGGGAGCGCGTGGCTGGGACCCCATCGGTGGGGCTGAGACCCTCTTACTGCGGGGCTGGGACCCCCCCGGTGGGGCTGGGACGCTCAGGGGTCGGGGTGTGGGGCTGGGACCCCCAGGGATGGGGCTGCGTGGCTGGGACCCCCCTCCGTGTTTTTGTGACCCTTTTAGTGCGGGGCTGGGACCCCCAGGGATGGGGGTGTGGGGCTGGGACCCCCCTGGGGAGGCCGGGACCCCCTTAGTGCGGGGCTGGGACCACCAGGCACGGGGGTGTGGGGTTGGGACCCCCCACCAGCGTGGCTCTGAGGACCCCCAGGGACCGGGATGTGGGGGGCGGGACCCTCCAATGTGGGACTGGGGACCCCCAGGACTGGGGATGTGGGGCTGGGACCCCCCAAATGTGGCACTGGGGACCCCCAGGACTGGGAATGTGGGGCTGGGACCCCCAAAATGTGGCACTGGGGACACCCAGGACTAGGGATGTGGGGCTGGGACCCCCAAAATGTGGCACTGGGGACCCCCGGGCTGGGCGCGCGGTGCTGAGGAGTCCTCGGGCGAGGGTCCCGGGGTCCCCGGTGTGTCCCTCCCGTCCCTGTCCCGGTCCCTGTCCCCGTCCCATGACGCGGAGCTGGCCGTGCCTGGCACTGGCACAGGCGGTGCCACCCGGTGCCACCGGGTCCCCAGGGGGGTCGGGGACACTGAGGGGGGGTCGGGCCCTGGCGGGGGAGTCCCCGCCGGGGTCGGTGGTGACCTGAGCCCCCCCGCTCCCGCAGCAGCCCCGGGCCCAGGCGATGGCCGAGGACAGAGGTAGGGGGGTGACAGTGCTGGCAGTGCCAGCCCCGCGTGTCCCTCCCCGTGTCCCCTCCCGCGCGGGGGAGGAAGGGGCAGGGCTCACCCTCGATGTCACCCCCACCAGATGTGCGGTTTGTCACCGAGGAGAGCTTTGACTTGGGGTCCTGTCACCCTCCGACAGGTACGGGGGTGGGGGGACGAGGGGACACAGGGGATGTGGATGGGGGACAGGGGGACATGCATGGGGATGGGGTGGACAGGGGTGGGAATGGGGTGGAATGGGGGGACATGGATGGGATTTGGGGGACGGGAGGGACAGGGCACCCCATGGATAGGGTTGTAGGGGACGTGGGGTCCCGGGGACATATGGCACCCCACAGGCAGGGTCACAGGGCACGTGGCACCCCCCAAACGGGGTCCTGTGGACATCCCACCCTTGGATGTGGCTCGGGGGTCCTGTGGACATCACACCCCCCTCCCCCCCGTGCATGTGGCCCTGGGGCTCCCGGGGGTCCCACGGGTGGGGTTTCTGGGGTGGGTGGGGTCCGTGCCCGTCCTCCTGCCCGCGGTGCTTGGGTGGGAGGTGACAGCGGGTGTGGGAGGTTGGGGACAGTGCTGAGCCCCCTGCCCCCAGCCAGGATGAAGAGGAGGACGAGGAGAGCCCGGGCGGGGGTCCCGGCGCGGGGGCAGGGGCGCTGGAGCCCCCTGCGAGGCGCCCGCCTGGAGGAGATGGTGCGGGAGGCCACGCGCTTGGCCGCGCAGCTCGAGGGGTGTCACCTGCTCCCCCGGCCCCGGGGACACCCTGGCGCCGCCGCCACCCCCGGGCACGCCGCGCAGCCCCCGGCGCCAGACGTTCGTGGTGAAGGACAGCCCGGTGCGGGCGCTCCTGCCCACCGTGGAGTCCCGGCCCGCGACCCCTGCGCCCCCGCACGGCCCCCGCCAGCCCCGGGGCCCTGCTGCCCTGCTGGCCCAAGGTGGGTGACATCCCGCGGGGTGGCTCCGGCCGGGACCTCCTTGGCCCCTCTTGTCCTGTGCGTGGCCTCCCAGCCCTGCTGTCACCATCCGTGGGGTGCCCCTGTCCCCATCCATGTCCCCTGTCCTCTGTGTCCCCATGTCCCCCTGTCACCCCCTGTTCCCATCCATCTCCCCCATCACCCCCTGTCCCTTCTGTCCCCATCCCTGTCCCCCCCGTCCCCTCCTGTGTCCCCCCTATCCCCCTCCCCCCACTGAGCGCTGTCCCTCTCCTCTCTTTGCAGACCCCCACCCGTCACTCCACGGCAGCACCCAAAGGACCCCGGGCTCAGGACCCCCATCCAGCGGGGGCGCCCCCGGCCCTGCCCCCAGGGACAGGGGAGGGGCCAGGGCAGGTCGGAGCCCCGGAGTGCACGGCAGGTACGAACGGGGCGGGGGGACACGGGGACACCCCCACGGGGACACCGCGCCCGTGGGGGTGCGGGGGTCCCGATCGCTGCCCCCACCCCTTCTCTGTCCCCAGGCCAGCCCAAGGCGAGGGGCCCCGCCCTGCCAGCCCCACGCCAGGAGCGCGGCCCCCTGGGCCCCTCGGGCCGCCCCCGGCCCCGGAGCCCCCAAGGCACCCCCGGCCCTCGCGGCGGGGGCAGGACCCACCCCGAGGTAAGGCTGGGGGGCTCCAGGGGAGGGTTCTGGGTGTCCCCCTCCCCCACCCGTGCCTCCGTTTCCCCACCGTTTCCCTCCCTTTCGCAGGCGCGGGGGCGCGGGGGTCCCCCAAACCGCCACCTCCACCTGCAAGGCGGGACCCCCTCCGGCCGCCTGCGACCCCCGCAAGACGGCAGCGAGCAGCACCCCCAGGTGACACCCCGGCCCCCCTGCGCCTTCACCCGGGGCTCAGGGTGCCTGAGACCCCCTTCGAGCTGGAGAGGGGGTGGGCAGAGTCGGGACCCCCGGGAACGCAATGAGCAACCTGCTGGATTTTGGGGTGGGGAGGGGGGCAGAATCTGGACCCCCAGGGATGAACCAAAGCACCCTCTGGGTTTTGGGGGGCGGGGGCAGAGCTGGGACCCCCAGGGATGAGCCGAGAGGCACCCACAGAGTTTTGGGGTGGGGGTTTAGACTCGGCCCCCCTCCCCCAAGGAAGGACCTGAGGGACCCTCTGGGTTTTGGGGTGGGAGGGGGTCAGACCCGGCCCCCTCTATCCCCCAGGAAGGACCCGAGGCACCCTCCGGGTTTTGCTTTATTACAAAAGGTCCCAGCAGCCATAGAAACCCCCCACCCCACCCCCTCAGCACCCAGGGTCCTCCCCCACTCCCCATCCTCACCCCCTGGGGGCTCAGACATCCCTGCCCCCACCCCACCCTGGGGATTGGCACCAAATTGGCACAATTTTTAGGGGGAGGGGTGGCACCTCGGGGGTGGGGGGTTGGCACCTTTGGGTGGGGGGGTGTTGGCACAATGTGTGTGGGAGGGGGTATAAATCCCTTTTTTTTTGTATTTTCACGGATTTTTTAAATAAAACCCTTTGTTGGGCACGGGGGTGGGATGATGGGGTGGGGGACACGAGGGGGGTCACCTGATGTCACCCCCATCCTTCAAGGTGCCAATCCCTGCCAGGATCCAAAGTGCAGTAGGCGGGGAGGGTGGGAGTGGCTCCTTTACAGTCCCCTCCCAAATCCTGGTGCCCCCCAAATCCTGGTGCCCCCCTAAGTCCTGGTGCCCCCTGGCCCGGGGAGGGGTGGTGCCAGTGGGTGGGTCCCCCTAGATCGAGGTCTCGTCGCTCCTGAGGGGGATGGATAAAATGGGGGTGGCACAAATTGGGGTTGGGGGTAAAAACAAGACAGACAGATGTGTGATGGGGGAGGGGTGCCAGGGTGCCCTCTGTGCCCCCAGCACCCAGTGCTCACCCCGGGGTGATGGAAAGGGGGTTGGTGAGGGTGGGCGGGACCCCCCCATGGGTTAATGGAGGAAATTAAAGAACAGAAATCTGGGGGGGGAGGGGGAGAGAAGAGCGGGGTTAGTGCCAGCTGTGCCACCCCCCTCCCTGCCACGGGCACACTCACCCACCCGGGGGGGCAGCGGGGGCTTAACGGGCACCCAATGGGCACCCCAATATCAAGTGACCACCCAGGGGTCAATGAGCACCCAACAGGTGCTGCTCGACCTGCTGGGCACCCAGCGGGCACCCAGGGGTCAGTGGACACCCAATGGTCACCCAACGGGCACCCTGACACCTGATGGGCACCCAAAACCCCCCCCTCACACCTGGTGGGTGCCCAAAGGGAACCCTGGCACCCAAAACCTCTCCTGATGGGCACCCAAGGGGCACCTCTTGGCCACCCTGACCCAAAGTGCACCCAGTGGGAGCCCTGGCAGCCGCTGGGCACCCAACACCCCCCCTGGGCACCCCAAAACCCGCCCGTGAGCCCCCGGCAGCCTCTCCCCGCGCCCCCCCCCTCCCGGGGCTGGCTGTGCCCTCACTCGGAGCCCGAGGAGTCCTCGTCGGCGGTGCCGGTGCGGATGCTCATGGCCAGGGGGGCGAGGCCGCTCAGCTGCTCCTGCAGGCTCTGCCGGGCCCGGGGGGCCGGGGGGGCTCCCCCATCGCTGCCCGACGAGGCCGCCGTGCCCGCGGGGGGCGGGGGAGGGGCCCGCTGGGAGCTCCCCCCGCCCCCCCGCTCGCTGATGGGCGGCAGCCACCTCTTCTTCAGGATCCCTGCGGGGAGGGGGCGGTGCCCACGGGGTTTGGGGGGTACCCACACCACCCCTGGCACCCAAAGGGTGCTCAAGAGCCACCCTTAGACCCAATAGGCACCCTGGCACCCAGTGGGTGCCCAAAGGGAACCTGGGACCCAAAGGGTGCTCAGTGGGCATCTCATCACCCAAGGAGTGTCCAAAGGGGACTCTGGCACTGGATGGGCACCCTAAAAGAACCCTGGCACCCAAAGGGTGTTCAGTGGGCACCCTGGCATCCAAAGGGCACCTGAGAGGGACCCTGGCACCCAAGGGGTGTCCAGTGGGCACCCTGGCACCTATGGGGTGTCCCAAAAGAACCCTGGCACCCAAAGGGTGCTCAAGAGCCACCCTTAGACCTGATGGGCTCCCCGGCACCCAAAAGGCACCCAACAGGGACCCTGGCACCCAGTGGGTGCCCAAAGGGAACCTGGGACTCAAAGGGCCCCCAGTGGGCACCCTGGCACCCAAGGAGTGTCCAAAGGGAACTTTGGTACCTGGGCACCCAAAAAGAACCTGAGACCCAAAGGGCACCCAGTGGCACCCAAAGCCCTCCTTGTACCCAGTCAGTGCCCAACAGCCACCCTGGCACCCAAAGGGCACCCAGTGGGCACCCTTGCACCCAAGGAGTGTCCAAAGGGAACTCTGGCACTGGATGAGCACCTAAAGAGACCCTCCTGGCACCCCATGGGCACCCAACAGGCACCCTTACACCTGACGGGCCCCCAGTGGGTCCCTTGCTGGGCACCCAAAAAGCCCCCCCTGGCACCCCGTGGACCCCCTGGAGGCCGTACCTTTGTGTGGGTGGGGCAGGGGCAGCAGCAGGGGGTCCCCGTTGGGCCGGGGGGGGTCTCCCCGGGGGGGTGCCTGTGCCCCCCCCGCGGGTGTCACCCGCAGCCCCTCGGTGCCCGCCGCGCCCTCGCTCTCGCTCGCCGTGGTCACGAACTCCCCCGGCCAGTACGGGCACCCCGGGGGCACCGGGGGGGCACCTGCGGGCAGGGAGGGGGTGTGGGACGGGCAGGGCCAGGGAACCCCCTGGACCCACTGGGTGCCCCCAGCTGGGCCAGGGACCCCCACACAAATCCACCGGGTGCCCCCTCAGCACCCCAGTCATGACAAGGGACCCCCCCATACCCACTGTACCCACGGGGTGCCTCCCCTCCAGCACCCTGGATAGGGCAAGGGACCCACCCCCATCCCCCGAGACCCACTGGGTGCCCCCAGCATTACCCAGCCAGGACAAGGGACCCCCTCCCCCAAACCCATTGGGTGCCCCCCCCAGCACCCAGCCAGGCCAAGGAACCCCCCCATGCCCACCGGGTGGGTGGTGGGTGCTGGGGGCCTTACTGGGGCCGGGGGCCGGGGGTGCCCCGGGCAGGGGGTCCCAGCCTGGGGGGTCGTCATCGCTGTCAGACGAGTGGGTGGAGCCGTAGGAGCCGCTGGGGTCGTCCAGGGACAGGTCACTGTCCTCCGAGTCCGTGTCGTGCTCTGGGGGTCACGGGGGGGGGTCACGGCTCGGGGGAGGTCGGGGACACCCCTGCGCCCCCCACGGGTGGGGGTCGTTACCCTCTGGCTGCTCCTGCGAGTCTTGGAAGAGCCCCCCGGGCTCGGGCAGCGGCCCCGGACTGCCCGCCAGTCCCGAGTCCTCCCTGCGGGGGCACGGCATGGTCAGTGGGCACCCCCCAGGACCACAAAAATACCGACAGACACCCCAGAAACAGTGAAACACACCCTGGGACCCCGGAAACACCCAAACACACCCCCGGGGACCCCAAAAACACTGACCCCCCCCGGGACCCCAGAAACACCCAAACACCCCCCGGGACCCCAGAAACATCGAAACACACCCCTGGGACCCCAAAAACATTGACAGCCCCCAGGGACCTAAGAAACACTGAAACACACTCCTGGGACCCCAAAAACACCAAAACACATCCCTGGGACCCCAAAAACATTGACTGACACCCCAACACTACTGACACCCCCCCGGAACCCCAAACCCACTGGCAGACAACCCCTGGGATCCCAAAAATACCAATAGACACCCCATCACCACTGACACCCCCGGGACCCCAAAACCACTGACAGACACCCACTGGGATCCCAAACCCCCTGGGCATCGCACCAACCCCATCCCTGTGCCACCCCCTCCACCCCAGTGCCAGGCCCACACCAACCCCATAACCCACCGTGCCACCCCACCACCTGTCACCCCCAGCCCAGTGTCCGTGTCACCCCCGGCCCGCCCCCCCCGTGCCCCGCGGTGGCTGTCCCCGCGGTGTCACCTCCTGACGAAGGGGATGTAGCTGTGCTGGCTCTTGCCCGAGCGGGCCGTGCTGTGCAGGGACCCCGAGGAGCCCCCGCCCGGGGGGCACAGCCGGCCCGCCACGTACGTGCTGTCCCCGCCGTACGCCTGCCACGGCCACGGGGGCGTCACGGGGGGAAGGACTGGCACAGAGACACCACCCCCACCCTGAGCCCACCCGGGACATCACAGGGGCTGCCCCCAGCCCCCCGTGCTCCCCGGAGGTCTGACGTGGGGACAGGGATGTCACAACCCTGCCAAGGGTGCCCCGAGACCCCCGTGTGCCCCCCGTGCCCCCCTGTGTCCCTCGGGGGTCTGGGGCGGGGACAGGGACATCACAGCCATGCCAGGGGTGCCCTGAAACCCCCAAAGCCCCCCATGCCCTCAGAGGGGGCTGGCACGGGACAGACACGTCACAGCCGTGCCAGGGGTGCCCCAATCTCCCCCGTCCCCCGTGCCCCCCCGGCACTCACGGGGGTCAGGGTGGCCTTGGTGGCCAGCGGGGGGTGGTGGCGGCGGGCGCAGCTCAGGCGGAGGCTCCTCCGCACCTCCTTGCTCAGCACCACGCAGGACACGAACATCAGGGGGCCCTGGGCACGCGGGGGGGGACACACGTGGGCATGGGGGGCATGAGGGGGTCGTGCAGCCTCGTGGAGCCACCTGAGGAGGCTCCCAGGCACGCGGGGGGCACCCCTTTGGCAGCTCAAGGGGGTGAAGGGACCCCCCCTCCCCAACACACACACACGTTGGGTGCCCCCCACGGGCACTCTGGGACCCCCCCTGTGCCCACTGGGTGCCCCCCCCAAATGGGTTTGGAGTTCTGGGGGTCCTGGGGGAAGGGACAGGGCTCTATGGGGGCCCCAGGTGTGGGGAGTGGGGGTCCCAGGGGTGGGCTCTGGGGGTCCCGGAGTGGGCTGAGGGTCCCAGGGGTGAGGGCTCTGGGGGTCCCAGGGGTGGGGGCTCTCTCTGGGGGTCCCAGGGGTGGGGTTCTGAGGGTCCCAGGGGTGGGGGCTCTGGGCTCTCTGGGGGTCCCAGGTGTGGGTAGTGAGGGTCCCAGGGGTGTGGGTCTGAGGGTCTCAGGGGTGGGGGCTCTGGGCTCTCTGGGGGTCCGGGGGGTCCTGGGGGTCCCAGGGTGATCTCTCCGGGGTCCGGGGGTCCTGGGGGTCTTGGGGGTGCCCGCTGACCTGCAGGCAGTTGGAGGCAGCGAACAGGTAGTGGCACAGGAGGGCATCGCTGTTCACCGACAGCAGGGCCAGCAGCCACGCCAGGCTGGGCACGGCCAGGAGCACGGCTGCGGTGTGGACCCCCGACCTGGCAGCCCACACAGCCCCAGTGTCACCCAACGGCACCCAGTGTCACCCCAGTGTCACCCAGGGCACCCAGGGTCACCCCAGTGTCACCCCATGTCACAGCCCCCCGTACCTCCCCCATTGTGGGCGCCCCAACACCCTGTGCTCCCCCCTGCCCTCCACAGTTGTCCCAACCCCCCTGTCCCCTGTCCCCCACAGGTGCCCTGTGCCCCCTGACCCCACAGATGCCCCCATGTCCCCCACAGGTGTCCTGTGCCCCCGACCCCACAGATGCCCCAACGCCCCCTACCCCCTGCCCTCCCTGGGCATCAAAGCCCCCAGTACTCCCCTGCCCCTCGTGGGTCCCCCTCTGCCCCCAGTGCCCTGCTGTCCCCCGTGGGTGCCCCTTGTCCCCAATACCCCTCCCAGTCCCCTGTGGGTGCCCCCTGCCCCCAAATGCCCCCTGCCCAGCCCCCCGTGGGTGCCCCCTACCCTGTGTCCCCATCCTATGCTCCCCTATGGAGTGCCCCTTGCCCTCCAATGCCCCCCATACATCCCACAGATACCCCCTGTCCCCAATGCCCCCCAGCCCCCATGGGTGACCCCTGCCCTCAATGCTCCCCTAGGTACCCCCGCCCTGGGTAGCCCCCATCCCCGTGGGTGCCCCGTGGCACTCACGCCGAGCCCTCTTGCGGAAGGCCTGTGGGGCGGCACAGGCGGCCCTGCCCGCCAGCACCAGGAAGAACACGCCGACCTGGGGGAGGGGGTGAGCTGGGTGGGTGGGTGGGCTGGGTGGGGTGAGGTGTCCCCTACCCCCTTGGACCCCCCAAAGCCCCCACTCACGGCGAGGGCGGCGGCGGCGGGCCCGGCCAGGCTCCACACCAGGGGGTCGTGCAGGGCCAGCCAGCAGAACTCGGGGGTCCCGAAACCCTCGGGGTCCAACCCCACGGCCAGGCCTGCCAAAGGGGCGGGGCTCAGATGGGGAGGGGCTAAACGGGGCAGGGTCGTGGGGGTGGGGCTTTGGGGCAATTCTGGATTGGGGCGGGGCAATTCTGGATTGGGGCGGGGCTACTCCAAACCGGGTGTGGCTACTCTGGGATGGGTTGGGGCTACTCTAGAGTGGGCGGGGCTATTTTATTGGGGCGTGGCTTTATCTGGGGGCGTGGCTATGATGGGCAAGAATATTTGAGGAGGAGCTATTTTGGGGGGGAGGGTTTTTTTCTGGAGGTGGGGCTACACATGGAAATGAGCCCCCCACCATGCCTCAATTTGATTGGTGAAAATGGATTTGGGGGGCACAGCTGAGAGGGCAGGGCCACCCAGAGGAGTTGACTCAGGTGGGTTATTCTGGATTGGGGCTGGGCTATCCCAAACGGGGGCGTGGCTACACCCAGAGGCGTGGCCATGCTGGGCACGAAGCATTTGGGGGAGGGGCTAAATTCGGGCTGGGGGAGGGGTTACACTTGGAAATGAGACCAATCCGATGGGGGGGAGGGGGTTCAAAGGGGCGGGGCCAGCCCAGGGTGTTGTCACGCCCACCCAGGCGGATTGTGGGGCGGGGCTCACCGGTGATGAAGGCGGGCAGCCCCCAGCCCAGCACGTGGTAGAAGCGCATGGGCCCCCTGTCCACGCTGCGGGGCTCGCTGCGGCGCCGGTACAGGTGCAGGGCCTCCAGCAGCCCCCAGCCCACCGCCCCCAGGTACAGGAACTGCAGCAGGATGGCCACCACCGTGCACGCCAGCTGGGACACGCCCACACCCCACCCCCTTCGTCAGGGGGTGTCACTGAGCCCACCCAAACACAGCCCCACCCGCCCACGATGGCCCCCAGGTGGGACACACCCACTCCCAACCCCAAAACCCCAAATCCCAGCGTTCCCCACCTATTTCCCCCACACCCACCCGCCCACAAACTGCCAAGTGGAGGATCCCCAACTCCCAAACCCCAAATCCCACCAGTCCCACCCCCTTTCCCCACCCATCCCAATCCCTCCCAAATCGTGAATTCCCAACCCCAAACCCCCAAATCCCACCAGTCCCACCCATTCCAGCCCCTCCCAAGCCGTGAACCCCTCAACCCCCAAAGCCCAAATCCCATCAGTCCCCACCCATTTCCCCCTACCCACCCAATCAACCTCAACCCAACAACCCCTTCCCACCACTCCCCACTCCTTCCCACCTTTTCCCACCCACTTCCCAGGCTGTGAATCCCCCAACCCAAAACCCCAAATCCCTAAATCCCACCAGTCCCACCCATTCCAGCCCCTCCCAAGCTGTGAATCCCCCAACCCAAAACCCCCAAATCCCACCCATCCCAGGCCCTCCCAGGCTGTGAATCCCCCAACCCCAGACCCCAAATCCCACCCATCCCAGGCCCTCCCAGGCTGTGAATCCCCCAACCCCAAACCCCCAACCCCCAAATCCCACCCATCCCAGCCCCTCCCAGGCTGTGAATCCCCCAACCCCAAAACCCCAAACCCCCAAATCCCACCCATCCCAGGCCCTCCCAGGCTGTGAATCCCCAACCCCAAACCCCCAACCCCCAAATCCCACCCATCCCAGGCCCTCCCAGGCTGTGAATCCCCCAAACCCCCACCAGTCCCACCCATTCCAGCCCTGCCCAAGCCGTGAACCCCCACCCGCCCCGACCCCCGTGCCCCCCCGTGCCCGCCCCGCTCACGGGCAGCTCGGCCTGGTTGATGCCGAGCAGGAAGACGAGCTGTGCCAGCAGCAGGGCGCAGCTGCCGTGCCGCCGGATGCTGTGCCGGTTGGAGCGCAGCCCCCGCAGGCTCCCCAGGGCCACGACCACCAGCGCCAGCCCCGCCAGGGCCACGCCCAGAGAGCCGTAGGTCAGGGCGGCCAGGGGCAGCACCTCACCGTTCTGGGGGGGGGGACACATGCCCGTGGACACGGCTGGATGAGGGGACACGCCTGGGGACACGCCCAGGGAGATGCCCACCCACGGGGACACGCCCTCCCACAGGGACACACCCATGGACACACGTATCCATGGGGACACACCCAGGGACATGCCCGTCTGAGGGGACACGCCCATGGACACGCCTATCCACAGGGACACGCCCAGGGACGTGCCCAGGGACATGGCCACCCAGGAGGACATGGCCACCCACATGGACACGCCCATGGACACGCCCATCTACAGGGACACGCCCAGGAACATGGACACGCCCAAGGACACGCCCACCCACAGGGACATGCCCATGGACATGCCCATCTATAGGGACACACCCAGGGACACGCCCATAGACAGGGATACACCCATGGACACACCTATGGACAGGGACACACCCATGGACACACCCATCCAAAGGAACACCTCATGGGCATCCATGGACCCACCCATGGACACACCCATCAACAGGGACATGCCCATGGACACGCCCACCCACAGGGACATACCCACAGAAATGCTCATGGACATGGACACGCTCAGGGACACACCCATAGACAGGGACACACCCATGGACACGCCCATGTACGGGGACAAGCCCAGGGACACGCCCATCCACGGGGACACGCCCATTGACACAGACACACCCATAGACACACCCCTAGACAGGGACACGCCCACGGACACACCCATCCAAAGGAACACCTCATGGGCATCCATGGGCCCACCCATGGACACACTCATCAACAGGAACACGCCCAGGGACACGCCCATGGACAGGGACACACCCATGGACAGGGACATGCCCAGGGACACACCCATCCACAGGGATACACCCATGGACAGGGATATGCCCATGGACACACCCATTAACAGGGACACACCCATAGACAGGGACACGCCCATGGACACACCCATTAACAGGGACACACCCACACCTCACAACCCCACCCCTTTAAACCCCGCCCACATCTCCCCTGCCCCTTGGAGACCCCATGTCCCCCCCTGTCCCCATCCCCCATGTCCCCCCCGTGTGCCTCCCGTGTCCCCGGTATCCCCATCCCCCCGTGTCCCCCCGTGTCCCCTGTCCCACCTCCCGCCGGGAGATGTCCATGAGGACAGCGAAGCTGGTCAGGTGGTGGCACTGGCAGCTCACGTGGCTCCGGTTCCTGAAGGCGACCTCACAGCCCCGCGCCGACCAACCCCCCGTGCCCCCCGTCCTGCGGGGACACCACAGGGACATCAGGGACACACCCACCAGGACACACCCACCGGGACACACCCCAGTGCCACCCGTCCTGAGGGGACCCGCAGAGACACCACGGGGGACATCAAGGATGCACCTACACCCACCGGGGTATCCCTGCCCCCCCCCTGCAGTGTCCCTGTCGCCCCCCAGGCTGTCCCTGTCCCCCCCCCATGGTGCTGTCGCTGTCCCCTCACCGCAGGGAGTGGTTCCAGAACACGCAGATGGGTTTGGAGCGTTCCTGTGTCTCCAGCAGCCGGAACTGGAGGGTGACGGGCTTGGCCAGCACCCGGGGGGTGCCCGTGCCCCCCGTGCCCCCCGCGTGGACGCTGATACTGACCACGGGCGTGTTGATAATGGGGCGCTTGGGCACCCTGGGGGGGGACACTGGGGTCAGGGGACCCACTCGGGACACCCCAAATGCCACCTCGGTGCCCCACGATGTCCCCACGATGTCCCTGCACCCCACGGGCATGGCCCCGCCCTTCTGTGGCCCCGCCTTCGGGCATCCCGTGGGCACCGTCCCCTGCGCCCCCCCATGAGACCCCTCCCCATCCCCTGCGCCCCCCTCCGTGAGACCCTCCCCATCCCTGTGCCCCCTCTGTGAGACCCTCTCCATCCCCTGTGCCCTCACCCATGAGACCCCTCCCCACCCTGTGCCCCCACCCTCAGCCACCCCCTGTGTCCCCCACCCTCGGGCACCCCCCGTGCCCCTTTCCAGCCCCTGCCCAGCTTCCTGAGGACCCCCCTGAGGACCCCCGCCGTGTCCCCCCAGTGGTGGCACCGGAGGCTGCGCTTGTCGCTGTCGAAGCGCGGCGGGAGGAGCCCAGCCAGGGTGCGGTAGATGATGACGCTGGCGATGGCCTGGCCCTCGCCCAGGGACGGGTGTCGCCTGTGCCGGGTCACCACGGTCCCCTCGCCATCCTGCTCCTCCTCCTCCTCCTCCTCCTCTTCAGCCTCTTCTTCCCCCTCCTCCTCCTCCTCCTCCTGCCCGTGCCCACCCGAGGGGCCTGGGAGGGACAGGAGGGTGGCACCATGAGTCACTGTCTCCATGGCTGTCCCAGTGTCCCCAACCTTGCCACCCCCACAGTCACGGTGGGGTCCCCATGGCCATATCAGTGTCCCCAACCCTGCCATCCCCATGGCCACCCAGGGGTCCCCGTGGTGACACTGGGGGTCTCCAACCCTGCCACGCCCATGGCTGCCCAGTGTCCCCAGTCCCACCACCCCCATGGCCAAAGGGGGAACCCCTATTCCTGCCAGCCCCACGGATGTCACAGGGTCCACCATGGATGTCACAGGGTCCACCATGGATGTCAGGGGGTCCCCCCATCCTTGCCAGCCCCATGCCAGGGGCTCCCCCAGCCCTGCCCCCCCACCCCGGTGCCCCCCAGACTCACGCCTGCCCTCGGGGGGCCTGAAGACGCTGTCGGGCAGGATCACGGTGGTCTCCAGGTCCGGGGGCTTCTCCCCCCGCAGGGCCTCATAGCGGGGCAGGCGGGCACCCGCTGGGCTGCTCTTGTCCAGCCGCACCACCGACACCACTGCAGCACCCACGGCACGGTGGCACCCACAGCATGGCACCCACAGCACCCACAGACCCCACAGACCCCACAGAACACGGATCCCAGAACACACCGACACCACTGTGGCACCCATGGCACGGTGGTACCCATGGCATGGCACCCACGGCACCCACAGACCCCATGGGACACGGATCCCAACACACACCGACACCACTGCGGCACCCACGGCACGGTGGTACCCATGGCATGGCACCCACGGCACCCACAGACCCCACAGACCCCATGGGACATGGATCCCAGCACACACCAACACCACTGTGGCACCCATGGCACGGTGGTACCCATGGCATGGCACCCACGGCACCCACAGACCCCATAGACCCCATGGGACATGGATCCCAGCACACACCAACACCACTGCGGCACCCATGGCACAGTGGCACCCATGGCATGGCACCCACAGCACCCACAGACCCCACGGGACACAGATCCCGGCACCCACTGACACCACTGCACCCACGGCATGGCACCCATGTCCCCTGAGCACACCCATGGCCATGTCCCCAGAGTCCCTCCTGTCCCCAGCTCAGCTGTGTCCCTAGAGCCCACCCTGTCCCCAGCCATGTCCCCAGCATCCCCCTGTCCCCAGTATCCTCCTGTGCCCAGAGTCCCTCCTGTCCCCAGGTATGTCCCCAGCCGTGTCCCCAGACCCTCCCCCTGCCCTGTCCCCAGCTGTGTCCCCAGTCCCCCCCATCCCCAGTTGTGTCCCCAGCCCCCATCCCCAGCTGTGTCCCCAGCCCCCCATCCCCAGCCGTGTCCCCAGCCCCCCCATCCCCAGCCGTGTCCCCAGCCCCCATCCCCAGCCGTGTCCCCAGCCCCCGTCCCCAGCCGTGTCCCCAGCCCCCGTCCCCAGGCGTGTCCCCACGGCCGCAGCGGGGCTGACCGATGTTGGGGGTGATGATGGTGAAGGGGCTCAGGTAGGTCTGGGGCATGTTCCGTGCCAGGGCCCGCGCGTACTCCTCGAAGTGGCGCAGCAGTTGGGCCGTGCCCCCCTCGCTCTGCTGGATCAGCTCCCAGTGCCGCTTGTTGCCCGCGTCCAGCAGGGCGCTGCCCACCCGCAGCAGGTTCTGCGGGCACGCCGCGGGTGGCACCGGGCTCTGCCACCCTCCCCACGCCCCACTCCCCCCGTGCCGCCACCACGCAGCGCTCTGCGGTGCCCTGGCACCCACAGCGGGGCAAAGGGGGGGCCACCCCTGCCCACCCCCCTCCCCACGCTGGTGACCCCTTCTCCCAGCCCTGCCCACCCTGGTGACCCCTTTCCCACCCCTCCCCACGCCATGCCCCTCCCAGTGCCCCTCTCCCATCCCTCCCACCCCTCCCCACCCCAGCAGCCCCTCTCCCACCTCTCCCACCCCGTGCCCGTGCCCGTGGCCCCTCTCCCACCCCTCCCCACGCTGTACCCACCCTGGTACCCTTCTCCCATCCCTCCCATCTCCTCCCCACCACGGTGCCCCTCTCCCACCCTCTCCCACCTCTCCCACCCCTCTCACCTCTCCCACCCCTCCCCACGCTCTGCCCACCCCAGTACCCCTCTCCCACCTCTCCCACCCTTCCCCTGCCCTTGGCTCCTCTCCCACCTCGTGCCCACCCCATGCCCATGCCCGTGGCCCCTCTCCCATCCCTCCCACCTCTCCCCCCTCCCCACGCCCCCTGCCCGTCCCACCTCCGTGAAGTGCACGTCCTGCGTGGCTGCGAGGCGGAACCCTCGCTGCCGGCTCTCGTGGCGCAGCAGCGCCCCCGCCAGGCGGTACGCGAGCCGCACGTCGCTGCCGAAGTACCCACGGGCCCCACGCGTGGCCTCGCGCAGCGCCAGCGCCACCCGCCGCGACTGCCCCGCGTCCCAGCGAGACTCGTTGCCCACCAGCTGCTCCGCCTGGGGAGGGGCGTGGGGGGACACGCGCGAGGTCAGGGTGGCGCGGGTGGCACGGGTGGCGCGGGTGACACGGGTGGGGCGGCGCGGGGGGGGCTCACCCAGGGGCGCAGGGCGGCGAAGGCCAGGGCGCTGCAGTTGAACAGGTTGGGGGGCAGCCACCCTTGTGCTCGTCACAGTGGCGCAGGGCGGTGCCTGGGGAGGGGACACGCGGGTGGCATCGCCGCGGGCACGGCAGGGGGCACAGCGGGGGAGGGGGCGGTGCCACCAAGAGGTGTTGTCGAAGGGAGGAGGGGGTGGGGGGTGGGGTCCAGCCCGGGTCGGTCTCTGTGATGGCATCGTGGTGGCACCGCCACAACCCCATCCCAGAGGTGCCACCACGGTGTCACCAGTCTAAACCCATCCCAGAGGTGCCACCACAGTGTCACTGCCCCAACCCCAACCCTGCAGTGCCACCACCCCAAACCCATCCCAGAAGTGCCACCACAGTGTCACCACCCCAAACCCATCCCAGAGGTGCCACCACAGTGTCACCACCCCAACCCCACCCCAGTAATGCCACCAGAGAGTCACCACCCCAAACCCATCCTAATTGTGCCATCACGGTGTCACCTCCCTGCCCTGTCCCAGCAATGCCACCACGGTGTCATCCCACCCCAAACCCATCCCAGAGGTGGCATCGTGGTGTCACCACCCCAAACCCATCCCAGAGGTGCCACCACGGTGTCACCTCCCCGTCCCACTCCAGCAATGCCACCATTCTGTCACCCCCCACCACCCCCCCAGTGCCAGCCGTCCCGTGCCATCCCCACCTACCCACGGAGCCCTTGGGACAGGGCGCGGCCGCCGGGAGCCCGAACCGGGTGCGGGGCCACCAAATGTTGGCCTCGATGGCCCGGGGACAGCTGTCATAGTTCACTGCGGGCACAGGGGACAGCGGGGTCACCAGAGGGACAGGGGGTCACCAGGGGGACAGCGAGGTCACCAGAGTGACAGGGGCACACACAGGGGGGCAGCGGGGTCACCAGGGGGACAGGGGCACACACAGGGGGACAGTGGGGTCACCAGGGAGACCGTGAGGTCACCAGGGGGACAGCAGGGCACATAGAATGACAGTGGGACACAGGGTGATGGAGGACACTTATGGTGACACAAAGTGACACGAGGTGACACGAGGTGACACAAAGTGGTGCAGGGTGACACAGGGTGATGGTGGGCGCTCAGGGTGACACGAGGTGACACAAAGTGACACGCGGTGACACAGAGTGACACGAGGTGACAGGAGGTGACACGCGGTGACACAAAGCAACACAAAGTGACAGGGGTGACAGGGGGTGACAGCGGTGTCCCAGCGCCCCCGTGCGGGCCCCACGCACCTTCGCAGCCGCCCGCGGTGACCTCGGCGAAGGGGTTGTCGCAGCGGTCGCAGTGGCGGCCGATGACGCCGGCCTTGCAGGGGCACTGCCCGCTGGTGGCGTCGCAGCGCCGCGACAGCGACCCCGTGGGGTAACACTCGCACGGCTGGCACGTGTCACCCCCCGCGGGGCGGTAGTGGTTGTCCTGGGGGGGGTGGGGGACATAGCGGGTCACCGCGGGCACGGGGGGACAGGAGGTGACAGGAGGTGACAGGGAGTGGTAGAGGGTGGCAGGGAGTGACCGAGGGTGGCAGGGGGTTGCAGGGGGTCACTGAGGGCACTGAGGGGTCACAGGGGGTGGTAGGGGGTCGTAGGGGGGTGGCAGGAGGTCACTGAGGGCACGGGGGGGTGACAGGGGGTGATGGGGTGGCAGGGGGTGACAGGAGGTCACTGAGGGCATGGGAGGGTGGCAGGGGGTGGCAGGAGGTCAGAGGGGGTGATAGGGGTGACAGGGGGTGATGGGGCTGGCAGGGGGGTGACAGGAGGTCACTGAGGGCATGGGGGTGGCAGGGGTGGTAGGAGGTCACTGAGGCACAGGTGGGGGACAGGGGGTGGCAGGGGTGGGAAGGAATCATCGTAGGCATGGAGGGGTGCAGGGGTGGCAGGGGGTCTCTGAGGGCACGGGGGGGTGACAGAGGTGTCAGGGGGGACAAGAGGTCACCGAGGGCACGGGGGTGACAGGGGGGTGGCAGGGGCGTGGCAGGAGGATGCCAGGGGGTGCCAGTCCCACCTTGCAGCGACACTCGCCCGTGGTCTTGTTGCAGTCGGGGTCGAAGCCCCTCGAGGCGTCGCAGCTGCAGGGGCCGCACGTGGGGTGTCCCCACCACCCCCGTGGGCACGGCTGGGCCTCCCTGCGGGCACTGGGGCTGGCATCACGGAGGGGGGGGGACACCGTGCCGGGCACCCCCCACGGGGCCGCTCTGCCACCCCTCCTTGTCCCCTCTGCCCCCACGGTGTCACTCGGATGCCCAAGGGTGATGTTTGAACCCCCACGGTGCCCCCCAGCCCTCACACACCCCTGTGTGCCCACCCTGGACCCCCAGAGTGCCCCCTGGACACCCATAGTGCCCCTTGTTCCCCCACAGTGTCCCTTGCACCCCTTTAGTGCCCCTTGTCCTCCCACTGTGCCCCTTGTGCCCCTGCAATGCCCCTTGGACCCCCACTGGGCCTCTTGTGCCCCCACTGGGTCCCTTGTCCCCTCACAGTGTCCCCTGCACCCCCACTGTGCCCCTTTTACCCCCACAGCGGTCCTCAAACCCCCATAGTGCCCCTGAACCCCTTTAATGCCCCCTGGACCCCCATAGTGCCCCTTGTACCCCCATAGTACTCCCTGCACCCCTTTAGTGCCCCCTAGACCCCCACAGTACCCCTTGTCCCCCCACAGTGCCCCCTGCACCCCATCCTGCCCTTGCCCCTCCCCATACCCTCCACGTGCCCACCCCCTTCCCCCTCCTTGTCCCCCCGTGTGCCCCCCCCATCCTTCCTATGCCTTCCCCCCCACACACATTGTCCCCGCAGTGTCCCCGTGGTGTCCCCACAGTGTCCCCGCAGTGTCCCCGCATTGTCCCCACGGTGTCCCCGCGGTGTCACGCACCGGTGCTGGCACAGGGGCCCGAAGGTGCCCGGGGGGCAGTGGCAGGCGTAGCCGGGGGTTGTGCCCGGCCGGCGGGCGCAGGTGCCGGGGGGCTCGCAGGGGTCCAGGGCACAGGCACTGACACAGCTGTCCCCAAAGTACCCTGGGGGTGGGGACACCGCGTTGGGGACACGGGGGGTGGGGACAGGGACAGAGGGGCAGGGATAAAGGGGTGGCAGTGCCCAGGGAGGGTGGGGACAGTGACAGTGGTGGCAGTGCCCTGGGGACAGTGACCTGGGGGCTGTGAGGGGGTCTCAAGGGGTCAGGGGACCTCAGGGGTGCTGGGGGTTCACTGCTCACCAGGGTGGCACTGGGGGCGTATCAGTGTCCCATGGGGGTCCCAGGGGTGTCCCCTCTCACTGAGGTGGCACTGGGGGACAGCAGTGTCCCGAGGGGGTGTTGGGGGGTCTCAGGGGTCCCAGGAGGTGCCAGGGGTCCCCCTCACCGGGGTGACACGGGGGTATCAGGGTATCAGTGTCCCAGGGGTCTCAGGGGGTCCCAGGAGGTGCCAAGAGGGTCCCCCCTCACCGGGGTGGCACTGGGGGGGTATCAGGGGTCTCAGGGGGTCCCGGGAGGTGCCAGGGGGGTCCCCCCTCACCGGAGTGGCAGCGGCACGAGAAGCTGTCCCAGTCGTCGCTGCAGTAGCTGTGTGGGGGGCAGGGCCCCGAGTCGCAGGGGTCGGGCAGGGCACAGCCCCCCTCCACGTTCACCTGGGCAGCCTGGGCCAGGCTCAGGGCGCCCACCGTCACCGCCGTGTCCCCCACGCGCAGCCCCTGCGGGGTCACCCGTCAGTGCCCCCCACTGACAGCCGAGAACCTCCCCCGAGCCACCCCGGACCCCCTGACACAGCCCACCTCCCTCAGTGCCACCCGGGACCCCTGAGACACCCAGACCCCCTGCCGCGTCACACTCCCCCAGTGTCCCCCACCATCACACGGGACCCCAGGACCACCCTGCCCCCTCTGCATTGTCTCCCTCCTCCCGTGCCCTCCCGGTGCCCCCTGTACCCTTCACACCCCCACCCCCTCCGTGCCCCCTGTGACCCTCCCGTGCCCCCCATGCCCCATTACCTGCAGGTGCCCCCTCCATCCTCCCTCCCTGTGCCTCCCCTGTGCCCTTCATATCCCCATGTGCCCCCTGTGACACCCCTTGCCCCTCTGTCCCTCTGTGCCCCCTGTCCCCCTTCACACCCCCGTGCTGCCCCCCGTCCCCCCATGTGCCCCTGTGCCCCCCTGTGCCCCGTTACCTGCAGGCACCTTCGGAACCCCCTCCCGTGCCCCCGAGTCCCCACGGTACCCTTCCCACCCCTGTGCCCCCCGTGCCCCGTTACCTGCAGGCACCCCCGGAACCCCTCCTGCACGGTGCCCCCCTCCCCGGGCAGCCCCCCCATGCTGAGGGTCCGCAGCCGCAGCCCCTGCAGCTCGCCGGGCACGTCCCCACGGCCTGTCACGGGTGGGGGCGGTGTTGCACAGGGACCCCGCAGGTGCCTCGGGGTGGCACCCACGGTGAGCGGGGGGCGTGGGCAGGGTGGTTTCCCCCCCCACACACCTGGTGGCGGCCGTAGTCGAGGGTGAGGAGGAGCAGCAGCGTGGCGGGGGGGTCGCGGCCGGGGGTCCCCCCGCGCAGCTCCAGCTCCACGTGGTGCCACGCGCCATCGTCCACCTTGGCCTGGGGCAGGCGCAGCGAGGGCCAGGGGGCTCCGGCCTGCCAGGCCCCCGCCTCCAGCTGCCCCTCCAGCAGCTGGGGGCGCTGGGAGCACACACGCAGCGTCAGGGACCCCAAAAACCCGGGGGGCAGCGGAAATACAATCACACCCCCATCCATCCATCCATCTGTCCAGATGTGACACCCACCCACGGGAGTGCCCCCAGCCCACGCAGAAGTGGCACCTCCTGGCACTGCCACCCCCACCCCGGCAATGCCAACCCCCCGTTCCCCAAAGGGCAATACAGGCTCGTGGCGTTGCCCCCAAGGCAATAACCCCCTCCACCCACGGCAGCCACCCCAGTGCTGATAGAGCCCCCAGGACAATCCCCCACACACACACCCTGGGCACTGTCCTCAGGGCATCCTACCTATTCCACCCCCTCTAATCCCCCTTTACCCCCCTGGTGCCCCCTCCACGTCCCCCTTGCCCCCAAGCCCCATTGCCCCCATTGCCCACCTGCAGGAGTAGGTGTGACACGCCCCCGCCCCGCGCTCAGCAGGACCCCGCGTGGGTGGCGGGTGCGGGACATGAGGCGGAGGTGCCAGGGCAGGGCGAGGGCAGCGCCAGCCCGCCCACGCCACGCGGCTGCTGCCCACGAACCGCTGCGGGGCCGCCATCGCTGCAGGGCACACGCGTGGGAGGGGCCCAACGCCGGGACCACCCCCATCCCGGACCCACCCCGCACCCCGGCCGCGAGGTCCCACCCATGGACACACCCACGGACCCCTGCACCCACCCACGGACCCCCCACAAGCACTCACGGACTCCCCTCACCACTCACAGACCCCCCAACCCCACAGGGACCCCCAGCACCCACCCACGGACCCTCTCAGCCCACCCATGGACCCCCACACCCACCCACGGACCCCCAGCACCCATGGAACCCCACACCCACCCATGGACCCTCTAAGCCCACCCACGGACCTCCCACACCCACCCACGGACCCCCATCCCCATCTGTGACCCCTCACAACCCCCACTGACCCTTCCCCCTCCCCCACGGACCCACAACCCATGGACCCCCCACGCCCCCAGTACCTTCCTGGCAGGTTTTGCCCCAGCCGAGGGGCAGCGGCAGCTGAACCCCCACTCGTGCACGCAGGTGCCCCCGTTGTGGCACGTGCTGGGGTCGCACAGGGTCTTCTTGGGGGCAGCCTGGGAGAGCGGTATGGGGAGGGTGGGTCACACCCACCTCCCAGCACCCCACGCCACGTCTGGGGGCACAGACACCCCTGGAACCTCCTGAACCCCACCCCACCCCAGGGGCAGACACCCACACACCCCCCGGCACCCCTGACTCACACCCAGTACCCCTGAACCCCCACCCCACCCCAGGGTGCAGGACAGCCCCCACACTGGCACAACCCTGAACCCCTGACCCCACAACTGCACCCCTGAACCCCCACCCCACCCCAGGGTACAGACACCCACACCCCCTGGCACCCCTGACCACACTGCACCCCTTAAGCCCCTCCCACTCTCAGGGGCACAGACCCCCACTGCCCTGGTACCCCTTGAACCCCCACCCCACCCCCAAGGGGCACAGACACCCCCAAATCCCCTGGCACCCCTGAGCCTCCACCTACACCCCCTGAACCCCCTCCCCACACCCAGGGGCACAGACATCCCCCACACAACCCTCTGGCACCCCCAAGGGACAGACCCCACACCTGCTGCACCCTCCTGAACCCGCACCCCTAACCCCTCTCGCTCTCAGAGGGCACACACACTCTGCCTGGCACCCTTGATCCCCACCTGCACCCCTAGACCCCACCCCACCCCAGGGTACAGACACCCACACCCCCTGGCACCCCTGACTCCCACACCTGCACCCTGAACCCCCTCCTACCCCATGCGCCCAGGGAGTCATAGGAGCAACCCCACCTTGCACTCCTCTGAACCCCCTCCCCACCCCAGGGTACAAGCCCTGTGCCCTGTGTCACCCCATACCCCCCCCACACCCATTTCCCAGCCCCCCGTGCCCCCCGTGCCCACCGGGCAGGGTGCCGTTGTTGGCGATGAAGGTGCCCATGTCCACGGGGCGCTGGTCGATGTGCAGGTGCCTCATGCACCCCACGAAGTGCCGGCTCCGGATCGGGAAACTCTCGGGCAGCGTCGGGACCCCCCCGAGCAGCAGCGGCCCCGTCAGGTCCAGAGACCTGCAGGGCACGATGGCGGGGGGGGGAGGGGGGGTCAAGGATCACCCAGGGAACCCCCAGTTCATGGGGAACCCTAGGGACCACCCAGGGAACCCATAAGTCATGGGGATCCTCAGGGATCACTGAGGGACCCCGCAATTAATGGGGACCCTCAGGGACCACCCAGGGATCCCCCAACTCATGGAGCACCCAGGGACCCCATAACTCATGGGGAACCTCAGGGACCACCCAGGGACTCCCCAACACATCAGGACCCCCAGGGACAACCCAGGGACCCCATAACTCATGGGTACCCTCAGGGACCACCCAGGGACCCCCCACCACAGGGGGAACTCCAGGAATCACACAGACACCCCAAAACCCAGGGGGACCCTCAGGGACCATCCAGGGACCCCAAAACCCATGGGGACCTTCAGGGATCACCCAGGGACCCCGCAATTAATGGGGACCCTCAGGGACCCCTCAGGGACCTCCCAACTCATGGGGACCCTCAGGGACAACCCAGGGACCCCATAACTCATGGGGAACCCCAGGGAATCCCCAGGGAGCCCCCAGTTCATGGGGTCCCCCAGGGACCACCTAACTCATGGGTACAGACATACAGACCCCAAAACCCAGGGGGACCCTCAGGGACCTCCCAGGGACCCCCAATTCATGAGGACCCTCAGGGACCCCTCAGGGACCTCCCAACACATGGGGACCCCCAGGGACCCCTCAGGGACCCTCCAACTCATGGGGACCCTCAGGGATCACCCAGGGACCCTGCAATTAATGGGGACCCTCAGGGACCACCACATGGGGAACCCCAGGAATCACACAGACACCCCAAAACCCAGGGGACCCTCAGGGACAACCCAGGGACGTCCCCCACCCCCAATCCCTGTTCCCCCCATGGCCATATCACCCCCCGGCACTGCCCCCTGCCACGCCCCCACCCCTCGCCCCATCACTTCCTCCCCCACGCCACGCCCCCTCACTTCTTGGAGCCCCCCTGGGTGCCCTGGGCGGCGCAGGAGTAGTTGGCGAGGCGGTGGCTGAAGCGCAGGGCCAGGGCTGTGTCACAGTCATCCACGGCCACCACGGCCACCTTCTGCTCCGAGGGGCCCTGCGGGACCCCCGAGCGCCCCACCACGGGCTGGGGGGGGGCACAGCGTTGGGGGGGCACGGGAACAACCCCCCCTTCCCCCCCAGACACACACACAGAGCCCTGCCAGGGTAACGCCCCCGTGCCAGCACCCCTAGGGTGACGCCCTCCGTGCCAAGTAACCCCAGGTACCCCTGTGCCAACCAACCCCCTGGGGGTAACACCCCCTGTGCCAATCCAACCCCCCTCCAGGGTAACAGCCCCCAGGGTAGAACCCCAGGTAACACCCCTGTGCCAACCAACTCCCCCAGGGTAGCCCCAGGTGCTACCCGGCAGAACCCCTGCCAGGGCAAAACACCCCCCCCTCCATGCTAATAACCACCCCAGGGCAACACCCCCTGTGTCAATGCCCCCCCTCCCATGGGCAATACACCCCCCTGGCATTGCCCCCCATGGTAATAACGTTCCCAGGGCAACCCCCCCGTGCCAATCACACTCCCCAGGGTAAAACAACCCCCCCCAGGGCAACCCCCCCTGTGTCAATGCCCTCCCCGGTGCCCCCACCTTGTTGTAGTAGTGCAGCTGCACGCGGTGCCACTGCCCGTCGCTGACGCCCCCCGGCACGAACGGGGACACGGTGGTGGTGGTCTCACCTGCAGGCACCGAGGGGCGTCACAGCTCCGGGGGGGGGACACACGGGATGGGATGGGATGCCAGGGGTGGGACACACGGGATGGGATGCCAGGGGTGGGACAAACAAGATGGGATGCCAGGGGTGGGATGCCAGGGAAGGGACATGGCACAGGATGGGATGCCAGGGGTGGGATGCCAGGGATTTACAGAATGGGATGCAGTGCCAGGGATGCACAGTGTGGGATGCAGTGCCAGGGATGTGACACACGGGATGCAGTGCCAGGGATGTTTTACCCAGGACACGTGCCAGGGATGAAGTGCCAGGGGTGGGATGCCCGGGATGGGATGCCTGGGGTGCAGTGCCAGCGATGGGATACCCAGGATGGGGTGCCTGGGATGGGATACTCAGGATGGGATGCCCAGGATGGCATGCCCAGGATGCAATACCCGGGATGGGATGCCTCGGATGCAGTGCCAGGCAGTGCAGGGATAGGATCCCAGGATGGGATGCCCAGGATGGGATACCCGGGATGGGATGCCCGGGATGGGATATCTGGGATGGGATGCCTGGGGTGCAGTGCCAGGGATGGGATGCCCAGGATGGGATACCCGGGATGGGATGCCCAGGATGGGATGCCCAGGATGGGATGCCCAGGATGGGATCCCCAGGATGGGGTTCCTGGGATGGGGTGCCCGGGGTGCAGTGCAGGGATAGGATACCCAGGATGGGGTGCCAAGGATGGGGTGCCAAGGATAGGGTGGCCAGGATGGGATCCCCAGGATGGGATCCCCAGGATGGGGTGCCCGGGGTGCAGTGCCCTGCCATGGTAGTGCCCAGCAGGGAAGCCAGGGTGCGGTGCCAGGCACAGGAAGGCGGGGGGCGGTGCCAGCAGTGCCAGGGTGGTGCCAGCAGTGCCAGCCATGCCGTACCTGCGGAGAAGGTGAGCTGCAGCTGCTCCCCCACGATCTCCAGGGCCACAAAGTCGTGGCGCTCGTTGAAGCGCCCGTTGTACAGGAGGAGCCCGTCCCGCTCCCGAGTGGCAAACCTGGGGGGGCACCAGTGCCAGGGGGTGCACCGACACCCCCCGGGCCTGACCGGGCCCCCCAAACACACCCCGACACCCCCCTGTGCCCCCCAAACACACCCTGATACCCCCCGGACCCCACAGAGCACCCCAAACACACCCCAACACCCCCCGGCCCCCAAACAGACCCCGGTAACCCCTGCCCCATCCCCCTGCCCCCGCAGTGTGCCCCCCATGCCAAGGGGTCACCCCACCCCCGTGCCCTCTGGGAACCCATCACCCCCCACCCCAAATGACCCCCGGGTGACACCCATGCCCTGTCACCGCCCACCCCCGACCCCACAGCCCCCGCGGTGGCCCCCCGGTGTCGTCCCCGCCCCGTTCCCCCGTGGACGCTCACGTGAGGCCGAGGGTGAAGTGGAAGCGCTGGCGGAGGCCGCGGAAGGTGAGGAAGGATTTGGGGGGGAAGCTGCGGGTGCTCATGGCACAGAAGGGCTTCTCGTAGTGCCCGGGGGGGCACTGGCACCGGAACCCCCCCACCAGCAGGTTCAGGCAGGTGCCCCCGTTCCGGCAGACCCCCGGGGTGCAGCGACCCCCCCGGGCGCTCAGCTCGCAGTGCTCCCCTGGGGGACACCCCGGACCCCAAAATTAGGGGGGTGGGGGGTCCAATCTCACCCCCTCATTAACCACAGTGTGCCCCCTGCCCCCCCCCCCCCGGGCACTGAGTTCATAGGGCACCCTGAAGAACGCACGGGACCCCCAAAATTAGAGGGTGGGGGGTCCCGTGTCACTCCTACTGCTCCCTTGGGGGACACCCAGCACCCCAAAAATGGGGGTGGGCGTCTCATCTCCTCCTCAAACCCCCCCACTAACCCCAGAGTGGCCCCCCTGCACACTCAGCTCTCAGGGGTCCCCTGGGGGACACCCAAGACCCCAAAATTAGGGTGGGGGGTCCCTTTTCCCCCCTCATTAACCCCAAAGAGCCCCTCTGGGCTCTCAGCTCACGGGGCTCCCCTGGGGACACCCAGGACCCCAAAATTAGGGTGGGGGGGGTCCCATTTCTTCCCCCCCATTAACCCCAGGGTGCCCACCCCATGGCTGAGCTCCCAGAAGCCCCAAGAAACCCCAAATCAGGGGGTGATGGGGTGGGGGTCCCCTCTCTCCTCCCCCCCCCAGCATCTTTATCCTCAGATCCATCACCACGGCAACCCCTCCCATCTCCATGGCAACCAGGAGAAGCCCCCTCCCCTCATATCCCCTCCCCCACCCGGGGTCCTGCGGGTGGTTGGGGTCTCCAGGGTGGGGGGGGGGATGTCCCCAGTGCCACCAGTCCCCGGGGTGGGGGTGTCCCCAAGGTCCCCACCCCACACAGGGATACCCTAAGTGTCCCTGTCTCCCTGCTGGGACCTCGTGGGGGGACCATGGGGGTTTGGGAGGATGGGGGGACACGGGAGGGGTGGGGGGGAGATGGAGGAGGATGAAGGTATGGAGACAAAGGGGAGGAGGAGAGAGAGGATGAGGATGGAAAAGGGATGGAGGGGAGATGGAGGGGGATGGATAAGAGGAGGGAGGGATGGAGGGCGGATGGATGAGGGATGATGGGAATGAACAGCATGAGGAAGGGATGGAGGGAGGAGGGAGAGATGGAGGGAGGGAAGGAGGAATGGAGGGAGGATGAAGAGGAGGGGATGAGGGAAGATGAGGAGGGAACAAGGAAGAAGGAATGGATGGATGGATGGATGGATGGATGGATGGATGGATGGATGGATGGATGGATAAGGGGAAGGAGGGAGGGAGGAAAGGAGGGAGGAAGAATGGATGGATGGAGAGATGGAGGGATAGATGGATGGATGGATGGATTTAGGGATGGATGGAGGGATGGATTTAGGGATGAATGGATGGAGGGCTAGGTGGATCTAGGGCTGGAGGATGGCTGGAGGGACAGATGGATGTTGGGCTGCACGGAGGACGGATGGATTTAGGGCTGGCTGGAGGATGGATGGATTTAGTGCTGGCTTGAAGGACAGACGAATCTCAGGGCTGCACAGAGGACGGAGGAGCCCCCCAGGCCCCGGCCCCGCTCACCGGTGAAGTCCTCGTGGCACTCGCAGGCGTAGCCGCCCTCGCGGCTGCGGCAGCGCCCGTGGGCGCCGCAGGGGCTGGAGTAGCACAGGTCGATCTCGGTCTCGCAGTAGTCGCCGGTGAAGCCGGGCGGGCAGCGGCAGCGCAGCCCCGGCACGGGCCGCACGGGCCGGAACAGGACGGTGTCGGACGCCAGGAAGGGCGCGGAGCTGTCGAAGCGCAGCACGGCCACGCAGCGCATGTAGTTCTCGCAGGGCTCCCGCAGGCACACGTTGTCGTCGAAGGGCAGCACCCGCTGCGCCGTGGTGGCCGCCAGCAGCGAGCGGTTGAGGTAGAGGCGCTCCTGCAGCTCCTCGGACGAGAAGAAGCGCGGCGGGGCGGGCGGCGGCAGCAGAGCCGAAAGGCTCACGTTGAGGATCCGCGCCGGCCCCACGTCCGTGTCCGCCTGGATGTTGAAGAGCACCACGCGGTGCCGGGGGGTGCCCAGCACGGCCGCCACCCCCTCGAGGAAGCGGCCGAGCAGCGGTGACAGGAAGAGCTCCTGCGACATGTCGGCCAGGCGCAGGGTGATGCTGTTGCTGAGCATCTCGTCCGTGATCACCGTCACCCGCAGCGAGCACTGCGCGCTCGCGCTGTGCACGCCGTCTGGGGACACGGGGGACGCGGTCAGAGGGGGGGTGGGGACGTTGGGAGGGGGTTGGGGGACATTGGGGTCTGGGGACACCCGGGGACACGGGGGACAGCGGGGGAGGGGTTGGGGACATTGGGGGTTTGGGGGACATTGGGGTCTGGGGACACCCAGGGACACGGGGGCAGCGGAGAGGGTGGGTCTGGGGGCATTGGGGTCTGGGGACATTGTGGGGATCAGGGGTGGGGGGCTGGAGACATTTGGGGTTCAGGGGTGGGGACATTGAGGTCTGGGGGGCATTGGGGGGGTCAGTGGGAGGACCTGGGGACATGGAGGGGTCAGGGGTGGAGGGTCTGGGGGTCATTGTGGGGGGTCAGGGGGTTCTGAGGGTGCATGGTGAGGTGGGATGGGAAGGGTGGTGGGCAGGGAGTGACCAACCTGGTGACCAACCCAGTGACCAACCCAGTGACCAACCCCACTGAGGACTGGCAGGTGGTGGGCGGGGGCTGATTATGGGGATGGGGCTGGTTATGAGGTTGGTTATGGGATGGGGGCTGGTTATGGGGTCGGGGCTGGTTATGGGGTCGGGGCTGGTTATGGGGTGGGGGCTGGTTATAGGGCTGGGCTGGTTATGGGGTTGGGGCTGGTTATGGGACAGTTGATGGTTATGGGGCTGGCATTGCTATGGGGTTGCTATGGGACCGGTTATGGGACTTGCACTGGTTATGGGGCTGTTGCTGGTTATGGGGCTGGTTATGGGGCTGATTATTGGGCTGATTATAGGGCTGGTATTGCTATGGGGTTGCTATGGGGCCGGTTATGGGACTTGCACTGGTTATGGGGTTGATGCTGGCTATGGGACTGGCATTGCTATGAGGTTGGTGCTGGTTATGGGGCTGGTTATGGGGCTGGTTATGGGGCTGGCATTGTTATGGGGCCGTTGCTGGTTATGGGGCTGGTTATGGGGCTGTTGCTGGTTATGGGGCTGGGTCTGGCTATGGGGCCGGGGCAGTCAAAGTCCCTGCCCCCCCCGGGACTCCCCCCCTTCCTCCTCCTGCCGCTCCTCGTGCCGGGGCAGGGCGATGGGGACAGATGGGCAGCGGGCGGACAGATGGACGGAGGGAGCGTGGGGCCAGCGCGGGGGGGTCCCGGAGGGGTGTCGGGGCCGGGTGGCCCGTGGCCCGTGGCCGGTGGGGAGGGGGGGGTTGCCATGGCCGCGGCCGCGGGGACCCAGCTATGGCCGGACCTTTTGTTCCCCTCGCGGCTGCCCCCGCGCTCGGGGGGCTCGGGGGCTCCCCGCCCCACCTTTGTGCCCTGGGACCCCGCTTGTGTGTGGCCGGAGCAGGGACCCCAAACTGGGGAGGTGAGGGGGGGTGGGGACAAGGGACAACTGACTCAGTTTCCCTCCCTGCTCCTGGGGGGTTTGGGGGGGAAGGAGGTGCTCCCCCACCCTGGGATGTCCCCACCCCTGTCAGCATCTCCTGGCCCCCCGAATCGAGGGTACAGCCCCCCTCTTATCCCTCAACACCCCCCCACTGCATTTGGGAACACCCCAGTGGGGACATCGGGGTGCCTCCCCTCCCCCATACACACCCCAGGCCCTGTCCCACCTCCCCCACCCCAAATCCAAGCACTGGAGTCTCCTGAAAACATCCACTGGGGTACCAGGATCCCCCAGTCCTGCCCTGTACCCCGAGCCCCTCAAATTCACCCAACACCCACTCAAGGGTAGCAGGACCCCCCCAGGTACACACAGTGGGTCCTGCCCCCCCCCAGTGCCACACAGAGAGGTGCCAGAACCACCCCAAAACCCACATGGGGTCCTGCCCCCCCAAAAGAAGGTTCACTGGGGTATGGAACCCCTCCGGACACCCCAGAGGGTGAGGGAGGAAAAGGGGGTGCTGGGGACCCTGAATGCCTCCAGAGGGGATGTCTGGGCTGTGGGGGGGGCACAGCATTCCCATCACCCCCCCTCACCTAGATCTGCAGGGTGGGGGCAGCCAAGATGGGGTGGTGACACCCCATAACACTTCAACGGGCTGGTGGGACCCCAAAACACCTCAGTGGGCTGGCAGAGACCCCAAAGTCCCTCATGCCCCCCTCACCTGCCCCGATGTGGGGGGTGGGGGCAGCCAAAACAGAGCTGGGGAGACCCCATAACACCCCCAAACTTTCCCCTGCCCAGCCCACCCTCCCTGGGGTGGGGGTCCTACCGGACACGGAGACCCTCATGACGGCCTCCAGCGGGCGGTTGTTGTCCAGGGCGGGGCTGAGCCGCAGCTCCCCGCTCTGGGGGTCCAGCAGCAGCAGGTTGAGCTCGTTGCCCTGCTCGAAGGCGTAGGTGAGGCGGTCGGACACGTCGGGGTCGTGGGCCGGGATGCGGCCGATGACGCCGCCGGGGAAGCTCCCGGAGCGGTTGGTGATGTAGTTGTTGAAGAGGATCTCGAAGTTCTTCAGCTGGGGGCTGTTGTCGTTGGCGTCGCGCAGCCGCACGTGCACGGTGGCCCGGCTGACCAGCGGCGCCGACGTGGCCTGCACCACCATCACGTACTCGGCCTTGGCCTCGTAGTCCAGGTCGGCCAGCGCCGTGAGCTCCCCGGAGAAGATGTCCAGCTGGAAGACCTCCGGGATGTTGCCCTCCACGATCTGGTACATGATCTGGGCGTTGGTGCCCTCGTCGGGGTCGGTGGCCGTGATCCGGGCCACCACCAGCCCGATGGGGCTGTTCTCCTCCACGAAGATGTCGAACTCGTCGCGCTCGAAGACGGGCGGGTTGTCGTTGACGTCCAGCACCGTCACCTGGATCTCCACCGGCGTGCGCCGCGCCGGCAGCCCCTTGTCCACGGCGAAGGCCCGCAGGGAGTAGAGCGGCACGTTCTCCCGGTCCAGGCGGCGCAGGGTGCGGACGATGCCCGAGGTGGACTCGATGATGAAGTCGCCGTCGCCGTCGTCGCCCCCCTGGAAGGTGTAGAAGACCCTGCCGTTGAGGCCGGAGTCGCGGTCGGTGGCGGAGACCTGCAGGACGCTGGTGAAGGCGGGGACGTCCTCGTAGACGGAGCCCTGGTAGGAGTGGCGGAGGAACTGGGGCGCGTTGTCGTTGACGTCGCTCACCAGGATCTCCAGGTAGGTGGTGTCGGATTTCTGGGGGATGCCGTTGTCCCGCGCCGTGATGGCCAAGGTGTAGGACACCTGGTCCTCGTAGTCCAGCTCCATCTGCGTGGTGACGGCGCCGGTGTCGGGGGCGATGCGGAACTGGGGGATGCTGTCCTCCATCAGGTAGGTGATGCGGGCGTTCTCGCCGGTGTCCTCGTCGGTGGCGCTGATCACCACCACCGTGGTGCCCACCGGCCGGTCCTCGTTGACGTTGACAGTGTAGTGGGAGCTCTGGAAGACAGGCCGGTGGGTGTTGGCGTCGGTGACGTTGACGACCACCAGGGCGGTGTCCTGGCGGGTGCCGTCGGACGCGGCCACGGTGAGCAGGTACTGCCGCTCCAGCTTGTAGTCCAGGGGCAGGGCGAGCGAGATGAGCCCCCCGCCGCTCTGGCTGGTGATGGAGAAGCGGTTGCGGGTGTTGCCGCCCGAGATCTGGTAGGTGATGACGCTGTTGGCGTCGCGGTCGACGGCGGACACGGTGAGGACGCTCGTCCCCACCGCCGCGTCCTCGTTGAGGCGGGCGCCGTATTCCCTGTGGGTGAACTCGGGGCTGTTGTCGTTGACGTCCAGGACGGTGACGCTGACGCTGGCCGTGGAGGCCATGGGGGGCGTGCCCTGGTCCTGCGCCTCCACGCCGAAGCTGTAGAAGTCCACGGCCTCCCGGTCCAGCTCGGAGGCCACCACGATCCAGCCGGTGCCGTTGTTGATGGCGAAGGGGAAGCCGGCGCCGGTGTCCAGCAGGGTGTAAACCAGGCGGCCGTTGTCCCCCGAGTCGGCGTCGATGGCCTGCACGTGGATGACGGAGTAGCCCATGGGCACGTTCTCCAGCACGGTGGCCTGGAAGGGCGTGCTGACGAAGATGGGGGCGTTGTCGTTGACGTCCAGCACCTGCACGGTGACCAGGCCGCTGATGTTGGAGAGGGGCGGGCGGCCGCCGTCCTGTGCCCGGATGCGCAGCGTGAACTCCTTGGTGACCTCGAAGTCCAGGGGGGTGACGACGTCCAGGGCGCCCGTCTGGGCGTCGATGTAGAAGTGGCCGCGGGTGTTGCCGCTGACGATGCTGTAGTGCACCAGGGCGTTGCTGCCCTTGTCGCGGTCGGTGGCCGTCACCCGCAGCACGGCCGCGTTGGGCACCACGTCCTCGGGCACCTGCGCCACGTAGCGCCGCTCGCTGAACTGCGGCGCGTTGTCGTTGTCGTCCTCCACGGCGATGCGCACGGTGGCCGTGGCGCTGCGGGGCTCCTGGCCCTGGTCGGCTGCCTCCACCAGCAGCTCGAAGGCCTCCACGGCCTCCCGGTCCACGGGGCCGCGCGTGCGGACGACGCCGGAGCGGGGGTCGATCTCGAAGACCTCGTTGGCGCCGCCGGCGTTGAGGAGCCGGTAGAGCACGTTGGCGTTGGGCCCGGCGTCGCCGTCGGTGGCCCGCACGGTCAGCACCTCGTAGCCCACCTCCAGGTTCTCCCGCACGCTCTCGCGGTACTCGGGCTGCTCGAAGGCCGGGTCGTGGTCGTTGGCGTCGCCCACGGTGACGGTGAGCGTGGCCATGGCGCTGCACCGCGGGGCGCCGTGGTCGGCCGCCGTCACGCGGAACACGTGGGTGCTCTTGCTCTCGCGGTCCAGCGGCGCCGCCGTGGTGACGGCGCCGGTCACGGGGTCCACGGCGAACAGGGCGTCGGAGCGGCTGTCGAAGAGCGCGGCCATGGAGTAGAGCAGCCGCCCCGCCTCGCCCTCGTCGGGGTCCTGCGCCGTCACCCGCGTCACCGGCGTCCCCGCCGGCCGGTTCTCCTCCACCGTGGCCTGGTAGCTGGAGGGCTGGAACTGCGGCGCCGTGTTGGGGCTCCGGCGGGGCGGAGCGCGGGGGGTCTGGGGGCTGCCGTGGGCTGGGGGTCCCCAACGCCCCTGGAGGCCGTCGTGTCCCCTGTGCCGCTGCTGTCCCCGGTGTGCCCAGTATTCCCAGCGTTCCCGGTGTCCCTGGGGACTTTCCTGCTGCTCTCCGTGTCCCTGGGGATTTTGGTGTTCCCAGTATGTCCAGTATTCCCAGTGTTCCTGGTGTCCCTGGGGATTTTGGTGTTCCCAGTATGTCCAGTATTCCCAGTGTTCCCAGGGACTTCCCTGGTGCTCTCAGTGTCCCTGGGGACTTTCCCAGGCTCCCCATTATGTCCAATGTCCCTGTTGCTCCCGGGGACTTTCCCAGCGCTTCCGGTGTCTCTCCCAGTCTCCCCAGTGTGCCCAGTATCCCTGCTGTCCCTCTGGACTGGGGTGTCCCCAGTGCCCCCAGCCCCCCAGGGCTCAGCCCGGCCCCGGTGTTCCCGGTGTGTCCGGTATCCCCGGCGCTCCCGCTGTCCCTGGGGCCATGGGTGCTCCCGGTGCCTCCAGTTCCTCCGGTATCCCCGGTGCCTCCAGGAGCGTCCCTGGCTCCTGCAGCGTCCCCAGCGCCTCCAGGGCTCCTGGTGGCTCCGGCGTTCCCGGCGGCTCCAGTGACGCCGGTGCTGGCGGTGCCTCTGACGCCCGCGGTGCCGCCGGTGCTTCGGGACCCCCCAACGCCATCACCGCCGCCGCCGCCGGTGCCCGGTGCGGTCCCATCGCCAGGTGCGGGCCCGGCGCCACCGCCGCTGTCCCCGGTGCTCGGTGAGGGCCGCGCGGAGCCGCCGCTGTCCCCGGTGCCGCCGCTGTCCCCGGTGCCGCCGGAGCCGCCGCTGTCCCCGGTGCCGCCGCGGCGGGGCTGGAGCGGCGCCGGGAGCGCGCCGGGAAGGCGGGGGCGGATCCCGGTGCCGCTCCCGCTTGCGATGCCGGTGCTGGTCCCGGTGGAGGAGCCGATGCCGGTTCCGGTGGCGCTCCCGGAGCCGGCGGCGATGCCGGTCCCGGTGCCGCTCACGCTGCCGCTGGCGGAGCCGATGCCGGCGGTGCTCCCGGTGCCGGTTTCGATGCCGGCGGCGATGGCGATGCCGGTGTTGGGTCCCGGTGCGGGCGGCGGCAGCAGCAGCAGCAGCAGCAGCGGGAGCAGCGGCAGCGCGGCCCGGCGGGCGGGCGGAGGGCCCATGGCCGCTGCCCCCCCGTGCCCCCCGTGCCCCCCCGGTGCCGGTGCCGGTGCCCGCAGCGCCCCGCGCCGCCGCCTGCGCCCCGCCCGCGCCCGCGCGCGCCCGCCGGGGCGGGGCCGCCGCTGCACCGGCCCCGCCGCGCTTAAAGGAGCCGCCGCCGCCCCCGCACCGGCACCGGGACTGCAACGGGACCCGCACCGGCAGCGCGGGGGGAGCGGGGCGCGCCCCCGAGAGCAGGTTGCCCGCACACACATGTAAGGTGCACACACATGTAAGGTGCACACACACACACATGTAAGGTGCACACACGGAAGGTGCACACACATGGAAGGTGCACACACATGGAAGGTGCACACACACACACACGTGCACTGTGCACACACACACGTGAAGGGCCTGGCACACGCCCCGACGTCGCGGGCACACGTATGGCACACGTGGGGAACCCGCAGGTTGCACACGCGTGTGAGCGCGTGTGACCCGCAGAGCACACACAGCCCGTGTGTGACACTCACAGAGCACACACAGCACATGTGACACAGCTCATGTGTCACACACACACACACACACACACACGCCCCGGCCGTGACCCCGGACACGGGGGTCGGGGTCCTCCCACCCCGTGGGAGCCCCCACCCCGGACCAGAGGGGCACAGGGACAGACTGGGAGGGACTGGGAATGCTGGGGGGCTCTGGAGGGGACCAGGGATGATGGCGGGGGGGCACTGGCACAGACTGGGCTCTACTGGGGAAGCTGGGGTGCTCTGGCACAGACTGGGAGGACTGGAGAGGCCGGGCGGGGGCGGATCCCCACGCTCCGTGGGTGCTCCCCCCCCAGCCGGCGCCGGTCCCGCGGCGTGGGTGCGGGCAGGCGGCGCGGAGCCGGGTGCTCCCCGGCAGAACAGGTCGGACAGGTCCCGGGGCCCCCGCGCCGGGGCGGCGCTCGGAACCGCCAGGCCCCCCGCCCCCGCCGGGGCTCCGCTGACTCACGGGGCCGCCCGCCCGCACCCACGGGGGGTTCCCACGCGCACACGGGATGAGTGGAGGGGGGGGCAGCCGGGCCCCCCCGTAGTGATGGACAGGGATAAACCCCCCATGTGTCCCCCCCAGCCCGGTGGGGGCGGGCGGCAGCTGGGGCTGAGCCGGGGGCCCCGGCCCCACTTTGCATCACAAAGGGGCTTTGTCTGGAGCTTTGTGTGGGGCTGGGAGCGAGCAGGGGGAAGGGGGGGCCACGGGAGATGCAGAGACACCCCCCACCCGGGGCTGGAGACCCCCCGCCCGCTGGATGGGGAGCTGGACCCCCTTGCCCCCTCAGCACCCCCAGCACACGCAGCTCAGCAGCTCTTGCCTTTATTGATGGAGGGGACACGGGGCGTCGGTCCCACTCAGCGTGGGGGACACACGGGGGGGGTTCCTGGCCCCACTCAGCGTGGGGGGACACACGGAGAGAGGGGGGGCACACACGTGTCAGTTCTTTGTGCCGCGGGGGGGGACCTGACGGTGACTCCTCCCCTCCCCCCCCAAAAGCGCAGCCGAGGGCACGGCCCAGGCGGGAAGGTGGGAACGACTCAGGAGACCCCAAAAGTCCCTCGGGGTGGGGTGGGGGCTCCCCCCCCCCCTCAGACCGCCATGTTCTTCATCTGCTCCTCCAGCAGCGGCTCGCGGGCCCCCCCCGCCTTCTTCTTGCCCCCCCCTTCCTGCTGCTTCTTGTGCTTCTTGGAGAGCTCCTGCTCGATGGGCGCGGGCCGCACGAACGGGATCAGCTCCCGCAGGTCTGGGGGGGCAGCGAGGGACCCCCGTCACACCCCGGCACAGGGGACAGAGGGCACGGGGGGTGTGGGCCCTCACACCCGGCACGGGCTGGGGGCATGGGGGCAGTGTGGGACCCCCGTCAGCCCCCCCGGCATGGAGAGGGCACGGGTGGGGCACAGGGGGTTACTGGGGGTGTGAAGTCATGGGATGGGGAGGGGGGAACAAGGGGCATGAAATGCTGGGATGTGGAGGGGTCTCAAGGCCATGAAATCCCAGGAGGGGGGGGGATTAGGAAATTCCAGGACAGGGGGGGGTCTCAGGGCCCATGAAATCCCGGGATGGGGGGTCTCAGGGGTAAGAAATCCCAGGATATGAGGGCCTCAGAGGTGGTTACCTGGGGGTATGGAATCCTGGGATGGGGGGTCTCAGGGGCCATGAAATCCCAGGATGGGGGTGGTCTCAGGGCCCATGGAATCACAGGATGGGGCTCTCAGGGGGTCTACCCGGGGGTATGAAATCCCGGGATGGGGAGGGGGTCTCAGGGCCCATGAAATCCCAGGATGGGGGTGGTCTCAGGGGCCATGAAATCCCGGGATGGGGCTCTCAGGGGGGCTCTCAGGGGTATGGAATCCTGGGATGGGGGTCTCAGGGCCCATGGAATCCCGGGATGGGGCTCTCAGGGGTATGGAATCGTGGGATGGGGGGGTCTCAGGGCCCATGGAATCCCGGGATGGGGGTCTCAGGGGTATGGAATCCCGGGACGGGGGTCTCAGGTCCCATGAAATCCCGGGATGGGGGTCTCAGGGGTATGAAATCCTGGGATGGGGCTCTCAGGGCCCATGAAATCCCGGGACGGGGGTCTCAGGGGTATGGAATCCCGGGATGGGGTCTCAGGTCCCATGGAATCCCGGGATGGGGGTCTCGGGGGGGTTACCTGGGGGCATGAATTCGCGCAGCCTCTCGGGCACCAGGATGCCCTCGGGGGTCTGGTGGTTCTCCAGGATGGCGCAGATGGTGCGGGTGGTGGCACACATGGTGGCGTTCAGCATGTGCACGAACTCCACCTGCGGGGGGTCGGGGTGAGATTTTGGGGTCCCCCGGGGGGGTCTGTGTGTGCAGGGGAGGGGAAGGGGGGAACCCATACCCTGAGACCCAGAAATATCCCGATTTTAAGGCGCTTTTTGGCACTTCAGGGGTTTTAGGAGAGAGCTTTGAACTGAAATTTCAGCCCCATGTCCCAAAATGTGGCTCATTTTTGGGTTCAGTTGAGAGTTTTTAGAGAGCCAGGAGACATCGACTCTGAAGTTTGGCACTGATTTGGGTGTTCCCCCAAACAGGGGAAAAAATTATTATATTTGGTTATGTATTTGCATATTGTAGTTAAATTCTATATTTTTAATAATTTTTTATAAATTTACACATATTTTATATATTATATATACACTATATATTATATATTCTACATGTATTTTATATATATTTTATAATACATATTTTATATATAATTATTATTATATTTGTGTATAATATATATTTTCTACATAACATATTTTTGGTATATATTATATATATAAAATATAATTTACATACTTTTATATATTGTATATATATTTATATACTTCAATGTTACTATTGTTTTATATATTGTATTTTCTATATTCTATACATTAATACATATTTTTACATACTTATGTATTATTCATATATGAGTGTATATTCTATATGTTTATATATATTATATATTGTATTTTAGGTATTTTATATATGATAAAGTTTTATAGATTTATTTACTTACATTATTTGTACATCAGTATGTATTTTATATATCCTTGTTTTTTAAATGTCATATTTTCTATACTCTTATCTATTGTACACACACTTGATACCCCCCCCCCAGCTCTTGGAGCCCCTGATGAAATCTGGGGGGAAATTTGAATAAAATCTGGGGGAGTTTTGGGAAAACTTAAGAAAATTGGGGCAACTGGGTGAAATCAGAAAACAGAGGAAATTTGGGAGAAAAATGAGGAAATTCGGGGGAATTCTGGGTTGGATTTTGATTGAAATGTTGTGGAGGGGCTGGATTTTAATCCAGGTGTTGTGGATTGATCGGATCTTGAGTGTTGTTGCGAGTGGATTTGACTGAGAGTGTTGTGGATTGACTGGATTTTGACTGGAGTGTTCTGGATTTACTGGACCTTGATTTAAATGTTCTGGATTTACTGGATTTTGATTTAAGTGTTGTGGATTAATTGGATCTTGACTGGACTGTTGTGGAGGGGTTGGATCCTGACTGGAGTGCTGTGGATCAATTGGATCCGCAGTTCAACACCATGGATCAGCTGGATCCCCCTCCAATCCCATGGATCAGCCAGATCCCACCCCAGGCCATGGATCAGCTGGATCCCCCTCCAATCCATGGATCAGCTGGATCCCTTTCCAACCCCATGGATCAGTTGGATCCCCCCAGCCCCTCCCCGCTCACCTTGTCCATCATTTTGCGGGTCTGGCCGTAGCGGATCCGCAGCCGCCGGGCCTGGTAGTCGGTGCAGTTGGAGCAGGACACGAGCTCCCGGAAGGCTCCGGAGCCGGGGAACCAGGCCTCGAGATCCAGCTTCTTGCTGGCTGCGTGGTTCAGGGAGCCTGGGACGGCACCGACACCGCTCAGCTCGAGGGGAGCCAGGGGATGGGGGACTCATGGGATGGGGGATGTCAGTGGGGTGAGGGATTCCATGGGGTGATTCCATGGGATGAGGGATTCAGGGGGTGAGGGGTTCCATGGGGTGAGGGGTTCCATGGGGTGAGAGATTTCAATGGGGTGATTTCATGGGATGAGGGACTCATGGGATGAAGGATCCATGGGTGGAAAGATTCCCTGGGATGAGGGATTTCAATGGGATGAAGGATCCATGGGTATGAGGGATTCCATGGGATTGGAGAGTCCATGGGATGGGGGATTCCATGAGATGAGGGATTCCATGGGATGAGGGATCCAGGAGGTGAGGGATTCCATGGGATGAGAGATCCCCGGGGATGAGGGATCCCACAGGGTTAGGGATCCATGGGGATGAGGGATCCCATGGGGTGAGGGATCCTATGGGGTGAGGGATTCTGTGCAGTGAGGGATTCCTGCCCTGTCCCAGGGATGAAGGAGTCCCTGGGGATGAGGGATCCATGGGGTGAGGAATGTCAGGACACAGGGAATGGCAGGACACAGGGAATGGCAGGACACAGGGAATGGCGGGATTGGGACAGGGATGCTGGGACACAGGAAACGCACCCGAGACGATGTTGACAATGTGGTAGGGGATTCCCAGGGACTGGTAGAACTCCTCGGCCGTGGAAATCATCTCCTCAAACAGCTCCCAGGACTTGTTGTCGTGGGGGGAGGAGTAAATGAACTGCTCGATCTGCGGGAGAGGGGAACGTGGGAACACCAGGAATTCCCAGCGGGAATGGTTGGTGACATTGGGGACAGATGGAATTCCCACTGGAGCCCCCCCCATAACCCCAACCCCCCGAATCCCCCTGGTAATCCCCTGGTGATCCCATCATCCCTCAGGAATCCTGTGGTGATCCAAATCACACCCTCAGGAATCCCATGGTGACACCAAACACCCTCCAAATCCCGTGGTGACTCCATACACCCCCAATCCCCCTGGGAATTCTGTGGTGACCCCAAACACCTCCCAGATCCCCTGGGAATCCTGAGGTGACTCCAAACACCCCACAGGATTCCCCTGGTGATCCCAAACATCCTCCAGGAACCCCATGGTGACCCCAAACACCCCTCGAACTCCTGGTGATCCCAATCACCCCCGATCCCTCTGGGAATCTCCTGGCGACCCCATCACCCCTCAGAAATCCCCTGGTGACCCCAAACCCCCTCCAAATCCCCTGGGAATCCCATGGTGACCCCAAACACCCCACAGGATTCCCCTGGTGATCCCAAACACCCCCCAGGAACCCCATGGTGACCCCAAACACCCCTGAATCCCCTGAAAATCTCATGGTGACCCCAAATCACCCCTCAGGAATCCCATGGTGACACCAAACACCCCCAGGAACCCCATGGTGACTCCAAACACCTCCCAGAATCCTCTGGTGACCCCAAACACCCCCGACATCCCCAGGATTCCCTGGTGACCTCAACAACCCCAGGATTCCTGTGGTGACCCCAAACACCTCCCATGAATCCCCTGGTGACCCCAAACACCCCCCAGGATTCCCATGGTGACCCCAAACACCCTCCAGGAACCCCGTGGTGACCCCAAACACCCCCTGAATCCCCCCAGGATTCCCGTGGTGACCCCGAACACCCCCTGAATCCCCCCAGGATTCCCCTGGTGACCCCGAACACCCCCCAGGACCCCCAGGGTGACCCCAACCCCCATTCCCGCCGTCACCTTCTCGAACTGGTGGACGCGGAAGATGCCGCGCGTGTCGCGGCCGTGGGACCCGACCTCCTGGCGGAAGCAGGTGCTGATGCCGGCGTAGCGCAGGGGCAGCTGCTCGGGGCGCAGCCACTCGTCGCGGTGCAGGGCGGCGATGGGCTGCTCCGACGTGGCGATCAGGTACTTCTCCTCCACCGAGCTGTCCTCGGCACGCTCGCTGCCCTTCCCGATCACCTGCGGGCACGGGGACGGCGGTGACACCACCCAGAGCACGGGGGGTGGGAGATGTGGGTTGTCAGCCCCCTGGCTGGGGGGTCAGAGGTGCCCGGGTCAGCCACGGGGGTGGAGATGAGAGATGAGACACCCCCCTGGCACCTCGTGGACGTCACCAAAAAGGTGTCACCCGAGGAGATGGACGCCAGAAATGAGACAATGAGACACCTCCTGGCACCTCACGGACATCACAGCGTGTCACCCACAGAGGTGGAACCAAGAGAGGGGCCCCTTCATCACCAAAACATGTCACCCGAGGAGAGGGGCCCCAGAGATGAGCCTTGTCACTTCATCACCAGAATGTGTCACCTCTGCAGATGGACCCCAAGGAGGACCCACCTCCCTGTCATCTGATGGACATCACAAGGTGTCCCCCGTGGAGGTGGAGACAAGAGAGGGGCCCCTTCATCACCAAAACGTGTCACCCACGGAGGTGGACCCCAAAGATCAGCCTTGTCACTTCATCACCAGAACGTGTCACCCATGGACACGGAGACAAGACACCAGCCTTGTCACCTCAGGGCCAGCACAAGACATCTTCTTGTCACCCAAACGTGTCACCCACGGAGGTGAACCCCAAAGATCAGCCACCTCCTTGTCACTTCATTGCCATCACAGGTGTCACCCACAGAGGTGACCCCAGATGAGCCACCTCCCTGTCACCTCATGGTCATCACATGTCACCCACAGAGGTGACCCCAGATGAGCCACTTCCTTGTCACTTCATTGCCATCACATGTCACCCACAGAGGTGACCCCAGATGAGCCACCTCCCTGTCACCTCCCGACCATCGCGTGTCACTCCCGCAGGCAGAGGGGCAGGGAACCAGTGCCACCACCGCTGCCACCGCTGCAACAGAGGGGACCCCACCACCCTGGGGGAGGTGTCTGGGCCCCAAATGCCCCCCAAAAGCCCCTGACCTTGTAGAGCTCCTCGTCGAACTGGCTGAGCTGGGCCACCTCCTGCATGACCTCCTTGCGCATGAAGAAGGGGGTGTAGACGGGGGTGTAGCCCCGGGCCCGCAGGCTCTGCAGGGCGTACTGGATCAGGGCCTGCTCCAGGAACACCAGGGGACCCTGGGGACACGGGGGGGACACGGTGCCTGTCACACCCACACCACGCCCGGCACATCCCGCGGAGCTGCTGCAGCTTCGGCCCAGCCTCGGCACAGGGCGCGGGGCGGGTCCAGAGACACCACCCGGGCCAGGGACCATCCCAGCACCACCATGGGGTTGCCATCATCCCTGGGATGGGTCCAGGGTCCACCCCACACCACCCCCATGGGGTTCCCATCATCCCAAGGGAGGATCCAGAGTCCATCCCACACCACCATGGGAGTCCCATCAGCCAAGGGATGGATCCAGAGGCACCACCCGGGCCAGAGCCCATCCCACACCACCCCCATGGGGTTCTCATCATCCCTGGGATGGATCCAGAGTCCATCCCATGCCATCAGTGTGGGGTTCCCATCATCCCAGGGATGGATCCAGAGGCACCACCTAGGTCCAGGCTCCATCCCAGCCCACCCCCATGGGGTTCCCATCATCCCAGGGGAGGATCCAGAGTCCAACCCACACCACTGCGGGACTCCCACCATCCCAGGGATGGATACAGAGGCACCACCCGGGCCAGGGTCCATCCCACACCACCACTCCCATCGTCCCACCCGGCAGAGGACAAGCCAAGCCCCTCATCCCACCCCATCCCGCCCATCCCAGCCCGCACCTTGAGGAAGTAGCCGCGGCTCCCGGCCACCACCGCCCCCTTCTCGCCCTCGAAGCCGTCCACCATCACCACCAGGTCCACGTGGGAATACTTCTTCCTGCAGCTGCAGTCGCCCCACACCCGCTCCACCTTGTTGTCCACGTCCTGCACGGGGGGAGCGGGATTGGGGCTCACCCAGGGACCCACAGCACCCCCCGTTCCCACGGGGACACCACGGGGACACCAAGCACACCCCAAATTCCTGCCAGGAACCCCGTGGTGACAGTGGGTGCCCCCCTGAATTCCCACTGGAACATCCCAATGACCCCTGGGCCCAGTGGTCGTTACAGATATGACACAAATATTACATTACAAATATTATAAATAACGTTGCAAATGGCTCAATCTGGGCCCAGTTTGGGAGCCCAGACTGCCCAGCCTGACCCCGGGAGGGTTTGGGTTCCATCACCCCTTAACACCCCACACCAGTCCCTGCACTGCACTGGGACCAGTATAACTATCCCATATTACAAACATTACACACCTGTGATATGCACTATATGCAAATATATGTAAAATTTATGTAACTTGTAAAAGAAAAAAAGTGTAACATGTAAATATATGTAATATTTACGGATATGTCATATCACAAACATTACATGTCCCCAAAATGTGACATTTCCAATATGTAATGTTTTAATATGCAACACACGTAGACATCACACATTAAAATATTAAAGACATTACATATTACAAATACCACAAATGTCTCACTCTGGGCCCAGTTTGGGAGTTCAGACTGCCCAGCCCGGGCAGGAGGATTTGGGGTGCCCCCCATGTCACCCCCCAGCCCAGTCCCTGTGCTGCACTGGGCCCAGTTTGGAGCTGACCCTGTTACGGGATGGGGCCCCCTTGGCATCGGGCCCGGGGTGTTCCCTGGCCAGACATTCCCGGGATGAATGGAGGCAGCGGGGGGAGAGCGGCCCCCCCTCGGGAGGAGCTTTCCCAGGGCTGTCCCCACAAAGGGGTGCCTGGCAGGGCTGAGCCGCCCTTTGTGTGCAGCTCCCGGCCTGGGGGGAGCCCCCCGAGCCCCCCAGCTCCGGGCCCCTCTGCCCTGCGTCCCTGTGACACGGCTCTGTGTCCCCACCCCCCTCCCCCTGCCCCCTCGTGTCCCATCCCCACCCCCTCCGGTGTCCTGACCCCACCTCCCTCCCTGTGGCCCATTCCCATCTCCCTCCTTGTGTCCCCTCCATCTCCCCCTGTTCCCATCTCCCTCCCCCTGTTCCCACCTCCCTCCCCTGTTCCCACCTCCCTCCCCCTGTTCCCACCTCCTCCCCTGTTCCCTCTCCCCCCCCTGTTCCCATCTCCCTCTCTCCTCCCTGTCCCATCTCCCTCCCCCTGTCTCATCCATTTCCCTCCCCATGTCCCATCCCCACGTCTGGCCTCGTGTCTCCATCTCCTTCCCTGTCTCCACCTCCCTCCCTGTGTCCCATCTCCATCTCCCTGCCCATGTTCCATCTCCCTTCCTGTGTCCTATCTCCTTCTCTGGCTCCCACCTCCCTCCCCTGTTCCATCCCTATCTCCTTCCCTGAGTCCCCATCTGCCTCCCTGTGTCCCCATATTCCCTCCCTGTGTCCCCACCTCCCTTCCATGTTCCCATCTCCCTCCTCATCTCCCTCCCCATGTCCCACAAGCCTCTCCCTGTCCCCATCTCTCTCTGTGTCCCATCCTCATCTCCCTTCCCTCGTCCCCATCTCCCTTCCTGTGTCCCCACCACCCTCCCCCTGTACCAGGCACTGTTCCCCGTGTCCCTGTCCCCATCCCTGTCCCCTGTCCCACCTCGTCGTTGCTGATGGGCACGGAGGGGTGCAGGAGGTTGCCGATCTCCCGCAGGCTCTCGAACCGTTCGGCCTCGAGCCGGAGCCGCTCCGAGTCACATTCCTGGATGGCCTCGTCGATGAGGAGCCGGACCTGCTTGATCTGGGACACCTGCAGGGCCTGCAGGGACCACGGAGGGACCACGGTGAGGGACCCCACTCAGGGCAGGGACCCCGCTCAGGGCAGGGGGAGGGGGCCCAGCACAGCAAATCCTGGATCCAGCACCACAAATCCCCAAACCAGCACCAAAAATCCCAAATCCGGCACCACAAATCCTGGACTGAGCAACACAAATCCCAAAATCAGCAGAGCAAATCCTGGATCCAGCACCACAGATCTTGGACTGAGTACCATAAATCCCAAATCCAGCACAGCAAATCCTGGATCCAGCAACACAAATCCCAAAACCAGCACCACAAATCCCAAATCCAGCACCGCAAATCCCAGAAAGCACATGGCAAATCCCAGATCCAGTATGGTAAATCCTGGATCCAACACCACAAATCCTGTAACCTGAATGGCAAATCCCAGATCCAGAATGGTGAATCCCAGATCCAGCACCACAAATCCTGGATCCAGTACCACAGATCCTGGATCCAGCACTGCAAATCCCAGATCCAGCACAGCAAATCCTGGATCCAGCACCAGAAATCCTGGATCCAGCACTGGAAATCCCTGGACCCAAACCAGCACAGCAAATCCCAGAACCCACACAGCAAATCCTGGATCCAGCACTGGAAATCTCGGATCCAACATTGATCAAATCCAGGATTGAGCAACACAAATCCTGGATCCAGCATCGGAAATCCTGGATCCAGCAACACAAATCCCAGAACCAGCATGGGGGGCACAGGGAGGTTCTGGGAGCTCCGGGGGACACAGGGGACTTGGGGGGCACAGGGGGAATTGAGGGGGCACAGGGGGTCTCAGGGGGGCACAGGGGACATGGAGGTCACAAGGGGCACGGGGGGGCCTCAGGGGACACAGGGGACACAGGTAGGGACACAGGGGACACAGAGGGGCACAGGGGACACAGGGAGGTTCAGGGGACTTGGGGGGGCACAGGGGGAGCACGGGGGGCACACAGGAACAGGAGTGGGCACAGGGTGGGCATGGGGGGGACACAGAGGGGCACAGGGGGACATGGAGGGTACAGGGGACACAGGGGGGACACAGGGTGGGCACAGGGGGTCCCACTCACCGCCAGCACCTCGGCCGTGAGCCCCTCCAGGTTCCGGGCGCTCTCCGGGACCGACTCGTCCGTCCCCACCGGCTCCTTCCTCTGCAAGGCGGGAACAGGGGGCAATTCCAGAGGGAAAACCCCCTCAGGGACACGAGGGGCAGGGGAGAGGGCAGGGAGGGACCCCCAAAGGGCTGAGGGGCAGGGGAGGAGGGAGGGACCCCCCAAAGAATTGGGGAGGAAGAGGAGAGACCCCTGGAAGGGTCGAGGAGGGGGGTGAGAGGAAACACCCCAAAGGGTTGGGGAGGGACCCCCAAAAGGTTGGGGGGAGCTGGAGGAGGGAGGGACCCCCAAAAGGCTGAGAGGGTGGGAGGACCCCCAAAAGGTCACCCCCACTCAAGGGGTTTCAGGGCTCAGCGTGGGGGGTGGTGGCAGAGAGGGACCCTGGGGGTCCCCCACCAGCAGCCTGGGGGGGAAACACCCCCAGGGACAGGAGGGAGAGGTTGGGGGCTTTGGGGGCACTCAGGGGAGAGGTGTGGGGCTGGCAGAGGTGGGGTCCTGCCTGGTGCCCCCCTGGTGCCCACCTTCATCTTGTCCCCGATGGTTTTGCTGCAAAGGTTCTTCAGCTTGTTCAGGTTGTCAGCACGGAACCTGCCTGGAGGGGAGGGGGGGGGGATCAGGGGGTGGGAGTGGCCTGGGGAGCCCCCCCTGGGAGCAGGAGGGGGGGTGGCAGCTCTGGGAATGCCCCGGGGCTGGGATGGAAAACACCTGGAGTGACCCCCAGGACAGGATGGGAACCGCCCCCCCCCCGTGGTGGGACAGGACACCCCCACTCCAGGCTGGGACCCCCACACTGGGCTGGGAACCCCCCCCCAAAGCCAGGTTGGGACCCCCAAATCGGGGCCACCCCAAATCAGGGTGACACCTCAAATCAGGGTCACCTGGAGAGGGTGACACCCCAAACGAGGGTCACCCCAAATCGAGGTGACACCCCAAAACAGGGTCACCCCAAATCAGGCGGGGGAATCGCTCCCAGGAGGGGCGACCCTGAGCCAGGAAAGATGGGATAGGATGGGATGGGATGGGATGGGATGGGATGGGATGGGATGGGAACCGCGGGATTGCATCAGCCAAGCGGTCGCCACCCTGCGCCACCTCCTGTCACTCTCTGCCACCTCCTGTCACCTCCTGTCCCCTCTGCCACCCCCGTCGCCCCGTGCCGGGGGTCCCGAAGCCGCGGCGGGAGGGGCGGGGGGATCCCGCGGGATGAAACGCTCCGGGATAAAGCGGGACCGCAAAGGGGGGGTGGGACCCCAAATGAGGGGCTGGGACTCCAAATGGGGGGCTGGGACCCCAAATCGGGGAGTGGGACCCCAAATGGGTCCCATCCCTTGTGAGGAGCAAAGGGGGGGGTCCCCCATTAACTGGGGTGGGGGCTGGGGGTGACCGGGGTAGCGAGGGGGGGACAAAGCGCAGAGGACAGGGGGTGACAACTCCTCGGGGGTCCCCTCAGCCCCATCCCGGGGGTCTCCCACTCCTCCATCCCTTGGGAGCAGCAAGCGGGGGGTTCCCCGCCCCCAATAACCCCGGGGGTCCCAAATCCGCGGGGAGGGGTCCCTACCAGCAGGCTGGGTGGTGACAAAGCCCAGCGGACGGGGGGTGACAACCCCTCGGGGGGGTCCCCCAGTCCCATCCCGGGGTCTCGCCCCCACGTACACCTCCTCCAGGCTCCGTCCGCGCGCACCAGCGCGTCCACCAGCGCAGGGTCCTTGAAGCGCTTGCGCTGCATCTCCCGCACCATGTCGGGGTCGCCGCCCTTGTCGGCGCGGAACAGGTCGAGGTCCAGCACCATGACGGGGTTTGGGATTGGGATCGGGACCGGGATCGGGATCGGCGGCACCGGCCCGGCGTGGGGAACAACCCGCACTGCGCATGCGCCAAAAGGGCGGGGCGTGGGCGTGGCACCAAGGGGCGGGGCCTGAGCGGCGAGGGGAGCGGCGCCCCCTGGCGGGCGGGAGGACCGACCGGGTTTGGGGGGATTTCGGGGGGTTTTCGGTGGTTTTGGGGGGGCTTTGAGGGGCTGCGGGGGATTACGTGGGGAGTGTCAGGGCTGGAAAGATTAGAGGAGTTTCAGAGGTTACGAGTGTGGGGTTGGGAGGATTTCGGGGAGTGGGGGGGAATTGGGGGGGTGGATCCAAGGGGTTTTCAGGAACCCCGCCCCAAATACCCCCCAAAATCTCCCTGAACTCCCAGAGTCTCCCCACAGCCCCCAAACCCCTAAATTGTCCCCAAAACTCCCGAAAACCACCAAATTCTCCCCACAACCCCCGAAAAACCCCAAATCCCCCCTAAAAACTCCTGAAAACCCCCAAATCCCCCCCAAACCGCCCCACAGCCCCAAAACCCCGAGCACAGGGGATGGAATGGAGGGGACTGCGCATGCGGGAAATGGGTGCGCGTGGGCGTGGCATTGAGTGGGCGTGGCCTGTGCGGTGGCAGAAGCAGCGCCCCCTGGCGGGCGGGAGGACCGGCCCGGTTTTGGGGTGTTTTTGGGGGTTCGGGGGGCGTGGGTTGGGTTTGGGGGATTAGGACAGGGGTTTGGGGGATTATGGGGGGGGTTTAGAGGGGGTTTCAGGGAGATTATGGGTGTTAGGAGGGGTTTGGGGGGTTTCAGGGATTAATGGAGGATTTGGGGGGATATGAAGAGGGGTTGTGGGGGCGTTTAGGGGGTTATAAGAGGAGTTTTGAGGGGATTTTGGGGGAGCTTCATGGGTTAGGGGAGGATATTTGGGGGGACATGAAGGGGGGGTTCAGGGAGTACAGAGAGATTATGGGGGGAGTTGGGAGATTTGCCAGGTATTTGCCAGATATTGCTTTATATCACCCCAAAATGCTTTTAACCCCTCAGGCTCCATGTCACAGCCTGGAGCTCAGGTTTAGGGGATTTTGGGGTGGTCTTAGAGGGGAGTTCAGGAGTTCTGGGGATTTTGGGGAGGCTTTGGGGTGGAGGTTTGAGGGATGGGAGGTCAATTTAGGGGGTTTAGGGCGGGTTTCAGAAGTTAAGGGAATTTTTGGGGGGATTTGAGGGGTCTCAGGGTGTGGAGGGGGTTGAGGAGATTGGGGTCATTCAGTTGTTGGGGGAGTTAGGGGTTTTCAGGAGTTATGGGAATTTTGGAGGAGCTTCAGGTGTGTTGGGGGTTCAGGAGTTATGGGGGTTTGGGGGCTTTCAGGTGTGGTGGGGGGATTTGGGGGATTCAGGGGTGTGTGGGGGTTGAGAGAACTGGGGCTTTCAGTTGGTGTGGGGGTTTAGGGGAGTTAATGAGATTTTGGGGGCTTCAGGTGTGTTGGGGTGTTCAGGAGTCATGGGGGTTTGGGGGTGCTTTGGGGGGTTTCAGGTGCGTTGAGGGGGATTTGGGGTGGGGGTTAGGGGGATTTGGGGGCTTTGGGAAGGGCTTTCTCTGCTCCCCAATCCCCCAGGGACCCTTTCCCTACCTCCTCCACCTCCCCCAAACCCCACGCTGGGGGTGGGGGGAAGGAACCAAACCACCCCAGGAACATCGCTGGATCTCTAGGATGAGCCACACCCCCCTCCTCCCCACCCCAAACCTCACCCCTCCCCTCGTGTTCTGCAGGCCCACAGCCGTGGTACAAACCCCACTCGTGTATTTGGCATCTCGGGGGGTGGGGGAGGGGACACGGGTGGGGACACGCGCGAGGTACAAAAGCCACGAGGGAGCTCCGGCCCCAGAGCGTCCCTAAGGCCACGTTGGGGGGCGCGGGGGGGGCCGGGGGTGCTCCCACACACACACACCCGTGGGGTGGGTGGGGGGCGCGGGGCCCCCCCGGCCCCGTCACAGCTCGCGTGGGGTGGTGCTGGAGCTCCTGAGCGGCACCGAGTCAAAGCCGTCCGGCCGGCGCTGCGGGGACACACTCAGACACGGGGGGACACTCGGACACGGGGGGACACGGGGGACACTGGGGACCACCCTGGGGGACACTGAGGCACGGGGACCCCCCCGTGGGGACACTGAGGCACGGGGAGCCCCCCTAGGGACACTGAGGCACCGGGACCACCCCGGGGACACTGGGACACGGGGACCACCCTGTGTGTGTGAGGGGAAACTGGGACCCCCCGTGGGGATATTGAGGCACAGGTATCACCCCGGGGGGAAACTGGGGCATGAGGACTCCCCAGAGAGGGGGCAGTGGGACACAGAGACCCCCCCGTGGGGACACTGAGGCACAGGGACCACCCCGAGGGGGACACTGAGACATGGGGACCACCCCGGGGCTACACTGGGACACGGGGACGACCTGTGTGGGGGACACTGAGGCACGGTTCCCCAGAGAGGGGACACTGGGACATGGAGACCCCCCCAGAGAGGGGACACTGAGGCACTGAGACCCCCAGGGTGGGGAACCCGGGGCATGGGCCCGTGTGGGGAGTGGAACTGAGGCAGGGACCCCCGGGGTGGGGGGAACTGAACCCGGGACACCCCCCTAAACCCCCCCCCAGCCCTCACCTTGGCCTTGAGGGCTCGGAGTTTCCCGAAGAGCGACATTTCGGTGGCGAAGAGCAGCTCGTCCTCGGCGTCCTCGCCCTCCATGATGGCGCAGCTGTCGGGGGACGCCGCCTCTCCCTCCCGCGCCGCCGCGTCCATCACCAGCTTGGAGTACTTGTACTCCAGCCTGGGAGTGCGGGAGCGCCATCACCCCCCTCCCTGCAGCCGCAGCGACAACCCGCGACCCCATTCCCCCCTTAAACCCCATTTCCACTCTCCCCATAAAACCAATTCCATGTGGAGAGGGGTCCCGCTCCCACCCCGTGGATGGGTTTTAGGACCCCCCAAACCCCATTAAACCTCTTTTCCCCCTCCCCACAAAACCACCCGCGTGTGGGGGACCCGCGGCTGTCCCACAGGATGGGTTTTGGGACCCCCCCCAAACCCCATTAAACCCCTTACCCTCTCCCCACAAACCCTGGCAGGGTCCCAGTCCCACCACCCTCAGGGGTGAGTTTTAGAGACCCCCAACCTCATTAAACCCCCTTTTTCCCCTCTCCCCACAAAACCACCCGCGTGTGGGGGACCTGTGGCTGTGCCAAGGATGGGGTGTGGGACCCCCTAAAACCCATTAAACCCTGTTTTCCCCCTCCCCACAAAACTACTTCCATGTGACAGGAGTCCTGCTCCCGCTCCCACCTGCGTGGATGGGTTTTAGGACCTCCTAAACCCCATTAAATCCCCTTTTCCCCCCTCCCCATAAAACCACCTTCATGTGGCGGGGGTCCTGCTCCCGTTCCCACCTGCGGGGGTGGATTTTAGGACCCCCCTAAACCCCATTAAACCTCTTTTCCCCCCTCTCCGCAAAACCATTCACCTGTGGGAGACCCGTGGATGTCCCATAGGATGGGTTTTGGGACCCCCCCCAAACCCCATTAAACCCCCTTTTTCCCCCTCCCCACAAAACCACCTGCATGTGGCAGGGTACCAGTCCCGCCCTCACCCACGGGGGTGGGTTTTAGGACTCCCTAAACCCCATTAGGACCCCCCAAACCCCATTTAGGACCCCCCAAACCCCCACCCCTCTCACTTTTGGGTCTTTTTCCAGAAGTAGGCGGCGAGCGCGGCCAGCAGCACGGCCAGGCACGTGCCCGTGGAAATGCCCACCTTCAGCCAAAAATCCACGCTGCGGCACGGCCGGGACTCCTGCGGGGGCAGCGAGACCCCCCCGTGGCACAGCCGCGGCTCCCGCCACACGTACGTGGTTTTCTGGAGGGGGGGGAGGGGAGAAAGGGGGGTTTGATTGATGGGGTTGGGGGGGGTCCTAAAACCCACCCCTGTGGGGCGGGGAAGGACCCGGACCTCTCCACGCGCGTGTAGTTTTGTGGGGAGGGGGAAAGGAGGTTTAATGGAGTGGGGGCGTCCTAAAATCCACCCCCTCGAGGCGGGGCGGGAGCAGGACCCCCACCACGTGGAAGTGGTTTTATGGGAAGGGGAAAATGGGGTTTGAGAGGTGGGGGTTTCACAGCCCAGCCTCTCGGGGCGGGACCTGGACCCCAGGGCTCCTGCCACACGTGGGGGGTTTTCTAGAGGGGAAAAGGGGTTTTAATGGAGTTTGAGGGTGTCCTAAAACCCACCCCCGCAGCGTTGGGGCGGGACCGGGACCCCTCCACACCCGCGGGTGGTTTTATGGGGAGGGGAGAGGAGTTCAGTGGTGGGGTGTCCCACAGCCCGTGGGGCTCGTGGGGGGGTGGAGAACAGGGGCTCTGGGCGGTGGGGGGGTCGTACCTGGACGCCGCCGATGCAGGCGCCGGGGATGGCCCGGTAGTGGGAGGGGCCGCAGCGGGGACAGCCCTGCGGGGACACCCAGAGCAGGTGGAAGGTGCAGCCATCGCAGGTGCCCTCGGGGCATTTGCTGATGGGGGGGGACAACAAAAAGGGAGGGGTCAGTGGCGATGACACCGTGGAGGGGGTTAATGGGGCAGGGGTGAAGCCCCCCAGGGTGTGTCCCTCCCTGTAGGTGACGTTGTGGGGTCATCCTGGGGGTCCCTCTTGGCATCCCCGGTGTCCCCCACACACACCTGGGGACAGCCAGGGTGGCACCCCAAGGTTGGGGACATCGTGACACCCCAAAGTGAAGCCCCCCAGGGATCAGCCCAGCCCCCAGCAGGTCCCCCCTCACCTGGGGACAGCCAGGGTGCCAGTGCCGGGGCTCAGGGGGTCACAGCGCAGCCGCAGGGTGGTGGCCCTGCCACCCGTGCAGGGCTGGGTGACATCGTTGGACCTGCCAGGGGACACAGGGCAGTGTGTGGGGGGGGTCAGGGGGACACTGGGGACACAGGGGGCTGTCCCCCCGTCCCTGCACCCACCTGAAGAAGAAGATGATGTCAGGCAGGTCGGGGTGGCTGCCAGGGAACAGCTCCGGGGGGACACGACCCCGTCCAGCACCGCGCTGGTGGTGACACCTGCGGGACACCCGGCCGTGTCCCTGGGGTGGCCCCGGGACAGCGAGGGGGGCCAGGGGTGTCCCAGGCCCTGCCACCGGGGTGTCCCCAATCACAGCAGGGTGTCCCAGCATCGCAGGGGTGTTCTTGTCCCACCAGGGTGTCCCATTCCCAGTGTCTCATTCCCAGTGTCTCATTCCTGATCCCTCACCCAGCAGGGTGTCCCATTCCATTCCCAGTATCCCAGTGTCCCTCACCCAGCAGGTTGTCCCATTCCCAGTATCCCATTATCCCATTATCCCATGCCCTCACCCAGCAGGGTGTCCCCCAGGCTGACGGGCTGTGAGGACAGGGCTGCGCGGGTGCCGCTGCCGTCGGGGGGCACGACGATGGCCTGGCACACGAACGACGTCACCCGGCGGGCGGGGACCCCCCCCCGGCCCTGCGGCACCGAGTCGGCACACGAGGCCTTCTTCCTGCCCTGCGGACACACGGCACGTGGGCACACGCTGGCACACGCAGGGAACATGCATGGCACACGCCTGGGACATGGGGCACATGACTGGCACATGTGGGGAACACACAGGAAGGACCCCTGGCACACACAGGGCACACACACAGCGTGCCTGGCACACGTGGGGCACACCTGGCACATGCAGGGGACACACAGGGCACAACCGGGGAACACACCTGGCACACACCTGGCACATGCATGGCACATGGGGCACATGCCTGGCACACACTGGCACATGGGGCACACTGGGGAACACGTCTGGCACATGCTGACACATGCCTGGGACACACGGGGCATGCGTGGCACACACAGGGAACACGCCTGGCACATGGGGCACACGCATGGCACGTGGGGCACACACACGGGGCACATGGTGGCACGCAGCACGCCTGGCACGTGCTGGGACACATAGGCACACCATGGGGCACACACAGGGAACACGTGGGGAACATGCCTGGCACACACAGGGCACACACACGGGGCACACAGGCAGCATGGCGTGTCACACAGGCAGCAGGGCGTGTCCCACGCGTGTCCCCGTGTGCCCATGCCCACCCTCCCGCGTGCCCACGTGTGTTCCCGACCCTCCTCTCCGTGTGTGCCCCCTCCCCTGTCCCCAGTGTCCCCGCGTGTCCCCACGCGTGCCCGGGCTCACCTGGTGTCCGCAGGGGCTGAGCTGGAAGCGGTGGCTGTAGCGCAGCCCCTTGGGGGTGAAGCCGGGCCCGGTGCCCAGGGCCAGCCCCGCGCCCAGCGCGGGGAACTCGTAGAGCAGAGAGCGGCCCGCCTGGCGCAGCCACAGGCTGCAGTTGTTGTAGCACACCGAGCGCAGCTGGGGATGGGGACAGGGACACTGTTAGGGACAGGGGGACAGGGGGACAGGGACAGCCACAGGGACAGCCACAGGCTGCAGTTGTTGTAGCACACTGAGCGCAGCTGGGGATGGGACACAGGGACACTGTTAGGGACAGGGGGACAGGGGGACAGGGACAGCCACAGGGACAGCCACAGGCTGCAGTTGTTGTAGCACACTGAGCGCAGCTGGGGATGGGACACAGGGACACTGTTAGGGACAGGGGGACAGGGACAGGGACACAGGGACAGCCACAGGGACAGCCACAGGCTGCAGTTGTTGTAGCACACCGAGCGCAGCTGGGCGGGGACAGCGACGCTGTTAGGGACACCATCAGGGACAGGAACACGGGGATGGGGACAGGGACACAGGGACAAGGGGACAGGGTCAGAGATGGGGACAGGGATGGGGACAGGGTCAAGGAAAGGGACAGGGACAAGGACAGGACAACAGAGGCAGGGACGGGGACACGGTCAGGGATGGGGACAGGCAGACAGGGACACAGGGACAGGGATGGGGACAGGGATAGAGACAGGGACACAGTCAAGGATGGGGATGGGGACAAGGACAGGAACACAGGGACAGAGACACAGGGATGGGGACAGGGACACAGGGACAGGGTTGGGGACACAGGGATAGGGTGAGGGACAGGGGACCCAGGGGAAAGGACAGGGACACAGGGACAGGGATGGGGGCAGGGAAAGGGACAAAGGGAGACGGAGAGGGACAAGGACTCAAAGACAGGGATAAGGGTCAGGGACAGAGGGACAGGGACAGGAGACAGACACAGGGACAGGGGGGTCAGGGATGGACGTGGCACCCACTGTGGACACCTCCATGGGCACCCCAGGGAGCTGGCACCGCCCCTCAGGGACAGGGGACGTGTGGTGTCACCCCTGGAGTCACAAACTGTCACCCACCCCATCACCCACCCAGGATAGCCAGGAGGGGCTGGTGTCACCTCCCTGGGGACAGCTGGGGATGGGCATCACCCCTCCAGGCAGTGTCACCCATCCAGGACAGCCGGGGGGGACGCGGTGCCACCCACCCATGGCGGTGTCACCCTGCAGTCCCCGTCCAGTGCCACCCATCGGGGACACCTTGAGCGTGGTGAGGGCCGGTGCCACCCCCAGGGGACCCTCGGGGACACCTCCCGGTGACACACCCCGGTGACACCCACCTGGTGACACCCCCCGGTGACACCCCCTGGTGACACCCACCTGGTTGCTGTGCGTGCCGGGCCCGCAGGGGTGGCACGAGGGGGTCCCTCCCGAGGGCGGTCCCCGCAGGACGGTGCCGGGGGGGCAGGGCCGGCAGGTGCCCGAGGGGGGGTCGAGGGCGCTGCCGGGGGGGCAGGGGGCGCAGGGACCCCCGGGCTGGGGGGCGCAGGGGCGGCAGAAGGAGGCCACCCCCCCCAGCACGTTGGTGACGTTGATGCTGTACAGCTTGGCCACGTCACCCGTGTAGTGCCGGCCCTGCGGGACACACCGGGGTCACCCGGGTGGGAGGGTCACCTGGAGCGGCCCCTGGGTGGCAGTGTCCCAGCCGATGGCAGTGGGGAAAGGGGCAGCAATTCCCACTGTTTGGGGATTCCCACGGCCCTCAGAATGTCCCAAAAGGGAGGAGGGGACACCCCAGGGACCTCCAAAGGGAGGAGGGGACACCCTTGGGACCCCCAAGAAAGGGAAAAGGGGACTCCTTCGGGACCCTCAAAGGGAAGAGGAGATACCCCAGGACACCCTCAAAACGAAGAGGAGATCCCCCCAGGCCCTCCCCAGGAAGGGCACCACCCCCAAAGGGAAAAGGGAACCCCCCAAAGGGAAGAAGGGATGCCCTAAACCTCCTGAAAAAGGAAGAGGGGATCCCTCTGGGACCCCCAAAGAGAAGAGGAGACACCCCAGGAAACCCTCAAAAGGAAGAGGGGACCCTCCCACCCCCCCCTCCGGGACCCCTAAAGGTTGGAGGGGACTCCCCAAAGGTTGGCAGGGCCCCCCCTCACCGGCTGGTGGTAGGGGGTGCGCTGGAAGGCCCAGGTGAAGCTCAGGGTGCCGTTGTGCTGCACCACGTACGTGTAGGACCTTCTGCCCGTCGAGCCCCTCCACGTCTCCACGGGGCTGGTGGCGCGGGAGTTCACGCCCTGCGGGGACAGCGACAGCGACGCGTCCCCTGCGTGTCCCCAAAGGCTCTCTGGCGGCAGGGACGCTGGGGACCCCGAGAAGGGACACTGGGGACCCCGAAGGGGCTGTCTGGGGACCCCGAAGTGACCCAAATGTCTCCTGTTTGAGCAGAGAATGAACACATCCCCGGGGTGCTTCGCTTTGGGGACACCACTGTCACAGCGTCCCCAGCCTCGGGGTGTCACCCTGGCTGTCCCCAGGTTTGGGGGAGGGACACGGGGGACCTCGAAGGGACAGTTTGGGGACCCTCAGGGTGACGCCCCCCCCATCTCTTGGTGCCAGGGAGGGACACACCCCTGAGGTGTTTCACTTTGGGGACACTACCGTCACAATGTCCCACCAACCCCGGGGTGTCCCCCCCCCAGTGCCCCCCGCTCACCACCATGAAGTAGAGCTCACAGCCCACGCTGCAGACGGTCTCGAACACGAAGGTGATCCTTCCCACCTCGTGGCTCTCCGTGTCCTCCAGCAGCGGGCTGGGAGGGCTGGGCACAGCGTGGGGACAGCGTGGGGACAGCGTGGGGACAGCGTGGGGGCACTGCCGGCCCCGCCGCACAGCCGCGCCCCGCCCCCCGGCCCCGGGGACACCCCTGTCACCGGGGGACACTCGTGTCACCGGGGGACACCTCCTCACCTGAAGCCCGGCACCACCAGCGTGAGGATCATGAAGTCGCTGTCGGAGGCCGCGGTCGCCGTGTAGATGAAGTCCCCGGCCACCTCCCAGCCTGCGGGGACACGGCGGCGCTCGTGGGGCCCGGGCTGTCCCCGGGGAGGCGACAGGGAGGGGACAGGGAGGGGACGGCCCCCGGTACCTGCGATGCCCTTGTACTCGAAGCTGATGCCGCTGAGCACGGTGGTCTCCATGTTGGGGGGCAGCACGTTCCACCACTTGTACTCCAAGCCCAGCGCGGGCTCCGTGCCCGGCGGGCACGACAGGCAGGCTGGGGACACGAGGGGACAGCCCTGCACCGGGGTGGCACCCCCACCTCCCCCCTCCCCGGCAGCTCTGGGGACCCCGGTCACCCCTTGGGGACAATGACGGGGACACGAGGGGACAGCCCCTCCCCGCCAGCAGCTCTGGGGACCCCAGTCACCCTTGGGGAACAGTGATGGGGACAGGAGGGGACAGCCCAGCACCGAAGTGACACCCCCACCTTTTTATCCCTGGCAGCTCGGGGTGCGCCAGTAACCCCTTCTGGGGACAATGATGGGGGCACAAGGGGACAACCCCGCCCCGGGGTGGCCACCACCTTCCCCCCATCAGCTCGGTGTGCCCCTGTCACCCCCTGGGGGACAATGATGGGGACAGGACGGGACAGCCCCGCACTAAAGTGGCACCCCCACCTTCCCCCCCATCAGCTCGGGGTGTCCCTGTCACCCCCTGGGGACACTCCGGGGCGGCCTTACCGGAGCCATTGGAGAAGGAGCCGCGGGGACAGGGCTGGCAGGAGCCGCCGGCGCCCTTGGCGAAGCCGGGGTTGCAGGGGGGGCACCGCGACCTCCCCCCCGAGGGCGGCAGCCGGGCCGCCCCGGGCAGCTCCTCGCTGCAGATCTTGGGCTCTGCCCACTTGTACAGCAGCTGCGTCTGCGGGGAGGGCCGTGAGGGGGACACACCCGCAGGGCGCGGGGGGACACACACACAGCCCCCACCCCACCCCGGGGGTCCCCGCGGTACCTCCCCGCCGGCGTCACAGGCCGTGTGGGTGTAGAAGAAATCCTTGTCCGTGCAGGGGGGGCGCGGTTTGCAGGACCCCGAGCCGGGCTCTGCAGTGAGGGGGGGGACACACACGGGGGGGTGAGCGGCTGGGGGACCCCAACGCTGTCCCCAACACGGCGGGGGGGCCGTGTGCCCCCTCCCAGCCAAGGTCCTCCCTGCCCCCTGCATCGCCTTCCCCTGTAGGGAGCGTGGGGGACACGGAGACCCCAAAGCTGATGTGTAGGGACCCCCGGTGTCCCCTCACACTGCAGGAGGTGCCAGGCTTGTGAATGGACTCCAGTGCTGTCCCCAACACGGGTGGGGGCCGTGTCCCCCATCCCAGCCAAGGGACACCGTGTCCTCCCTGTCCCCTGCACCTCCTTCCCCAGGGACACCCCCACAGCACAACGGGGGCACACGAGGGGACCCCCAAGGCCGCCAGCTCTGGTGTCGGGACCCTGGGCTGTCCCCTCTCCCCAGCAGAGGTGTCACGGTCGTGAGGGGACCCCAACGCTGTCCCCACAGATGGGATGGCAGGTCCCTCCCTGCCCCCTCCACATCACCTTTTCCACTCCCCCGGGACACGGACTGGGGGGGACAAGGGGACCCCTAAAGCTGCCACCGGTGGGTGTGGGGACCCCCACGGGTCCCCTCTCCCCAGTGCAGACCTCGGGCTTGCAAAGGGACCCCAACCCCGTCCCCTCCAGGGGGTGTCGCGTCCCCCCCTGCTCCCCCCATCCCCACTCCCATCCCCAGACCGGGGGGACGGGGGGGGGCTCTAAAGCAGCCCCCGGCGGGTGCGGGTACCCCGGGGTGCCCCCGCTCACCGGCGTAGGTGCCGGGCTCGCAGGGCTGGCAGGCGGTGGCCCCTTTCCCGGAGAAGGTGTCGGCGGGGCAGGGCTGGCAGGAGGCAGAGCCGGGCGCGGCCGCGAACGTGCCGGGTTTGCAGGGGAAGCACTCGGAGGTGAACGCGACCCCTGGGAACGGCAGGGGGCTCAGGGGAGAGGGGGGCGTGGGACAAAATCCCCCCCGGGCCCCTCCGTGCCCGCCCCCACCCACCTGTGATGCCGATGTTCCGCACCAGCACCGGTTTGGGCACCTTGGCCCACACGGAGAAGGCGGTGGTTCTCCAGTACAGCACGTTGTTACCGCGGCTCAGCTCCACCTGCGAACGGGGTCGATGGATCGGGGGGATTCCTGCTGCCAGCCAGGGCGTGGGGACTGTGGGTGGGTGGTCGGTACCGCGGGTGGGTGGTCCCAGTGCCAGGGAAGGGGTTGGGACCATCGCGGGGAGGGTGTCGGTTGTGGCACCTCTGCCATCACCTCCCGTCCACTTTGGTCCCCGTGGAGCACCCCTGTCCCCAGGGGAGGGTCTCGGGACCCCCGGGGTGCCCCCCCGCCCCCACTCACGCTGTGGAATTCCCAGCCCTTCTCTGTCGTTCTCATCCACCGGGATTCCTCCACCGTGGGCTGGCACTGGTCATTCTGCACCTGCGGGGGTGGGGTCAGGGACTCTGTTCCCAGAGACCCCCTGTCCCCAGGGACACTCCCCCTCTCCCCAGACATGCCCCCTGGTCCCCAGGGACCCTCCATGTCCCCAGGGATCCTCCCCTGTCCCCAGACATCCACTTTCTGTCCCCAGGGATCACCCCCTGTCCCCAGAGACCCTCCGTGTCCCCAGGGGGTCTCCCTGTCCCCAGGGCCCCCCTCTGTCCCCAGGGACCCCCTCCTCTTCCTACAGACCTCCACCTGTCCCCAGAGACCCCTCCTGTCCCCAGGGACACCCCCTGTCCCCAGAGATCACCCTCTGTCCCCAGGGACCCCCTCTGTCCCCAGGGACACCCCTCTTGCCCCAGGAACCCGTCCTGTCCCCAGGTCCCCTCCCCTGTCCCCAGACACTCTTCAACACTCCCAGGGCCTCCCAACACGGCCCCAGCACCCCCTGATGTGACCGGGTGACCCCCGGGGCCCCGGAGCCCCCTCCCCACGCGCAGCCCCCCCGGGACGCACGAAGAACTCGAAGACGATGCTGCTGTCGGGGTAGATGTACTCGAAGGTGACAGTCCCCGCCTGCTTGAGGCTCACGGCGAACATGAGCGTGGCCGTGCACTCGTCCGTGTTCGAGGCCACGTAGTCCCCCAGGGGCACCCACGTCGACCTGGGGAGGGGACACAGCACAGCCCCAGGCGGGAATGGGGGGGTGGGACCGGCCGGGAGGGTCCCCCGGGAGTAGGGAGGGGGTTGGGGACACGGGGAGAGGGGTTGGGACAAGTGGGAGGTTTGGGGGTTGTTGTTGGAACTGGGAGGGGTTGGGGGGTGTTGGGACAATTGAGAGGGTTCCGAGGTTGTTGGTGCAGCTGAAAGGACCCCCTCGGGTGCTGTGGGGACTCCCATGGGAGTCACATCCCAGTGCCACACCCCGGTGCCCCCTCCCGGTTTCCTGTCCCACTTTCCCATCCTGGTGCCCCATCCAGGTGTCTCCTCCTGTTGCCCCCTCCCAGTGCCCATCCCAGTGTGACATTCCATATCCTGCTTTCCCACTCCAGTGCCACATCCTGGTGCCACATCCCAGTGCGTGGTTTCCCATCCCAGTACCCCCTCCTGGTTTCCCATCCCGGTGCTCCTGCTGGTGCCACATCCCATATCTTGGTTTCCCATCCTGGTTTCCCACCCTGTTTTCCCCATCCCAGTTTCCCACCTCAGTTTCCCCTCCCGTTTTCCTGGTTCCCCATCCCACATCTGTTTCCCCTCCCGTTCTCCCGCTCTCCCCGGCGGTTCCTCACCCGGTGCAGTTCCCGGCGGGGTCCCCGGGCCCCTCCTGCAGCTCCAGGTTGGTGGCCACGTTGGCGAACCCTCGGGGCACCTCGTCCCACTCGTCGAAGCGGACGCCGGTGCCCAGCGAGTAGGTGCCCGCGGCGCAGGGGCGGCACGACTGCGCCTGCATCTCCAGGAACTCGCCCGCCTTGCAGGAGAACGCTGCCCGCGGGAAGCGGGAGCGCAGGGAATCAGCCCTCGACCCCCTCCACGGGGCTGCTTCAGCCTTGCCACCCTCTCAGCTCCGCCCTCCCCGGGAGGAGGATCCCCCAGCCCGCCCGTCCCGCAAAGAAACGCTCCCAATTGACGGGGTTTGGCTCCTGACCCGCAGTGCTGCCCGAGCCGGGCGGGATGGGAATCCCCTGGCACGGAGAGGGGGCACACCCGGGGTTTGGGGGGCTTGGGATCCCCATCCTGCTCGACCCAGTTGGTGCCTCTGGGTGTGAGCATTCCCACCCCTCCCATCCCATCCCAGGCGTTCCATGTGTGTTATTCCCATCCAATCCCGGTGTGATTCCCAGATCTCCCATTCCATCCCAGGCACTTCATGTGTGTTATTCCTGTCCAATCCCAGTGTTGCTCCCATCCCACTCCTCTCACTCCATCCCAGGCACTCCATGTCTGTTATTCCCATCCAATCCTAGTGTGATTCTCACCCCTCCCACCCACCTAGCACTCCATGTGTGATTCCCATCCCTCCCACCCCATCCCAGGCACTCCATCCATGTGTGTTATTCATCCCATCCAATCCCAGTGTGATTCCCAGCCCTCTCCATCCCATCCCAGGCACTCCATGTCTGTTACTCCCCTGCAATCCCGGTGCGATTCCCTGCTCTCCCACCCCATCCCAGCACTCCATGTGTGTTATTCCCATCCCTCCCACCCCATCCTAGGCACCCCATGTCTGTTATTACCATCCAATCCCGGTGTGACTCCCAGCTCTCCCATTCCATCCCAGGCACTCCATGTGTGTCATTCCCATCCCACCCACTCCATCTGAGTTATTCCCACCCTTCCCACCCCATCCCATCCCACCCCCCGCACATTATCCCGCCGCCATCCCGGCGTGATTCCCACCCTTCCCACCCCCCTTCCCGCGCTGTCCGGGCCGTTCGGCACTCACAGCACTCGGTGCCGCGGACGGGGTCGGGCAGGCCGGTGCAGAGCCCGGGGCTGTGCGGCACCGCCACCCTCCAGCGAGCCCCGGAGCTGTCACACGCCGTGTACTCGTAGTGGTACTCGGACTGCGGGGGGGACACAAGGACAGCACGGGGGGAGCTGCCCCGGGACCCCCACGCTGCCCCCGACGGAGGCTGCACCCCCACCCTGTGACCCCCAAACCTGTGCCCCCCCAGGAGGGGTTGTACCCTCACCCTGTGCCCCCCAACCCTGTGCCCCCAGGAGGTTGTACACCCCCTTCGTGGTGGGGACATTCGGGGGGTGCAGGATTTGGGGGTGCTCAGGGTGGGGGTCACAGCCTTGGGGTGGCCCGGGCCGGTGACACGCGGGGCTCCTCAAACACCGGGGGCCATGGGGGGCGGCAGGGGCACCGCGACACCCCACCCCCACCCCCAATCCCACCGGCTGTGCTCGGCTGGGAGAGGCTCAAGGCCGGTGGGGAGGTGACACAGGGGAGGTGACACCGGGGAGGTGACACCGGGGACAGACGCGGCGTGGGCACGGCCAAGGACAGGGCTGGGGGAGGGATGGGCTTTGGGGTGTCGGGGCACGGGGGCACAGGGGAGCCCCCACCCTGCAGCAGCTTTGGGGTGTCCAGGAGGTACAGATGGGTGGTTGCAGGGCACGGGGGGAGCCCCCCAGCCAGTTCTGGGGTGCCGGGGCACGGGGGGTACAGGAGGGCACAAGGGGCGGGCAGTGGGTGCAGGGGGCCCCACCCCGCGCAGCCCCGGGCTGGCGGAGCGCGCTGGTTTGTGCTCCCGGCGGCTGCCGGAGCGTGGCAGGTTGATGGGAAAACAACCGCTTTGATGTTCCCGTCAGCTGCAAACGGCGGCGATGGGGGGAAGGAAAAGGGGGGGATGAGGGGAAAGGGGATGGGGAGGGGAAAAGGGGGCGGAAAGTGAAAGAGGGGGATGAGACGCGTCTGCAGCACCCCCTGCCCGTGTCCGGGCAGCACCGAGACCCCTAGCCCCGCACGGGGCACAGAGGAGGGTCCCCCCACCCTGGGGGTACCCAGGGGGTCACCCCAACTCTGAGCAGCCCCGAACCCCCACAACGCTGTCACTCCCGAGGGATTCCCTTGGAGAGAAGGGTTTTTTCCCCCTCTTCGTAAACTTTTCTAGGTTTTTTTTAAAATCTAAATAAATTGACCTAATTCAGCCCCGGGGCGGCCCTGGGGGGTGAGGGAGGGGCACCCCGAGGCGTCACTGTCACCCTGCTCCGGCCGGGAGGGGAGTGGCTGTCCCCAGGGAGGGACAGGGGACACCCCCCGCCGCGGGGACAGGTGCCAGCCCCGCTCTATTGTTTCCAGCTCCGGATCGTGGAACACGGACAAAAAAACTGGATCACGGCGCGAAAAACATTCCTGGCCCAGATTAAAAAGGAGCCGCAGGTCTGGGGGGGGAAGGAGGGGGAGAACAGCGGGGGGACACCCCAAGGAGGCGATCTGGGGGTTCAGCCGCTGTCCCCAAGGCGGGCAGAGCCCAGCGAGTGACAGATCCCCCCGGTTCTTCCTCGCAGGACACTTCGGCCACCGCGTGCCGGGCTGGGAATCGCACGTGGCCACTGGGAATGTCCCCCCCTGCCTGTCCTTGTCACCCTCCCCAACAGCGCTCAGGGAGGGTTTGGGGCCACCCCAACGTGTGTGCGGGGCTGGGATTTGGGGGCAGCGATGGTAACATCACTTGGGGTCCCCCAAAGAGACCCTCGGGGTCTGGCAAGGGCCCCCCCTCCCCAAGGGTTCGCCAACCCACCCTGTTACAGGGACCCCTGTCCCCTCCCCGTCCCGCCCCGAGCTCCGGGGCTCCGTTTCACGTCCCGGGGTGGGGGGTGTGAGGAATTCGGGGGGCTCCCGCAATTGTGCTCCCACCGCCGACGGCACCGCGACCCCCGCGCCCCCTCCCTGTGCCCCCCCGCGCGCTCCGGGGCTCCCTTCCACGTCCCGGGGAGGGGGGTGTGGGGAATTCGGGGGGCTCCCGGCGGTGCCCCCCACCATGGCCGGGGTCGGTACCTCCTTGCAGACGTGCAGCTGCTCCGCGGCGCGTCCCGGGGACGCGGTGACAGCGAGACACAGCAGAGCCAGCGGCGCCCACCGGGCTCGGGCTCCGGCTCCGGCTCCGGCTCCGGCCATGGCGGCGGCAACGGCGGCAACGGCGGCGGCTCCGCGGCCCGAGCGGCACCGGCACCGGCCCCGCCCCCACAACCGCCCGCCCCCCGCGCACCGGCGGCACCTGCGCGGCCACCAAGGGAACGGGAACGGGAACGGCACCTGAGCCCGCCCCGGGAACGGCAGCGGGAATGGGAACGAACGGGAATGGGAACGGCACCTGCGCGGCCCCCGCGGGAACGGGAATGGGAACGGGAATGGCACCTGCGAGCGCCCCGCATGGCAACGGGAACGGGAATGGGAACGGGAATGGGAACGGCACCTGCGCCCGCCTCAGAAACAGGAACGGGAATGGGAACGGCACCTGAGCCCGTCCCGGGAATGGCAACGGGAACAGGAATGGGAACGGCACCTGCGCGCACCCCTCACCACGGGAATGGGAACAGGAACGGCTTCTGCGCCGGCCCCCGGGAACAAGAACGGGAACGGAGCCACCGAGAATGGCACCGGGAATGGGAACAGAGCCCCCGGGAACCGGCACCAGGCATCGGGAATAGTAGTGGGAACGGCGCCCCCAGGAATGGCACCGCTATCGGGAGCGGAACCGCCGGGAATGGTACCGGGAACGACCCCCGGCATCGCCCCCGGAAACGGCAGCCAAGGGAACGGGCCCGGGAGTCGGCACCGGGAATGTCAGTGATGGGAACGGCACCGGCACCGGGAACAGAGATACAACAGAACCCCGGGAATGACAGCCCGGGAATGCCGGGCATCGGCATCGGGAGCGTTTTCCATGGAAACAGCACCGGGAGTCATCGCCGGGAATGGAACCGCCGGCAATGGCGCCAAGCGTCATCCGTGGAATGTATTTCCGGGAACGGCATCGGGCATCCCCCTGGGATGTGTCCCTGGGAACAGAACCCCGGCACCGGGACCAGCCACGGGCATCCCCTGGGATGTACCCCGGGAACGGCCCCGCCCCGAGCATCATTCCCGGGATGTTATTCCGGGATCGACCCGGGATATCACCCCCCCGGGGCTGGGGGGACATCGGGACGGAGGCCCGGGGGGCTCACGGGTCCCCCCACGCCCTGTGGTGTCCCCACCGTGTCCCCCCCGCGGGGCAGGGCCAGCCCCGGGGACAGGAGCGGAGGGGACACTCACGTGTTCTGGAAAACAGGGAAATGGGAACACAGGGAACACGGGCGGGGATGTGGGGACACATGGGGGACACAGGGGATGTGGGAATGCGAGGGACACAGGGAGGGGACAGAGCTGATGCGGGGACACAGAGGGTCATGGGAGCATAAGGGGACACTGGTGACATGGGAGCATAGGGGACACAGAGGGACAGGGGGTCCCAGCTCTGTCTGTGGTGGCACAGGTACCTCGGGCACAGGGGAGGGGACACGAGTGTCCCCAGAGCAGCACAGGGACAGCCCCGGGCCTGGGGATGAGGTGGCAGGGGGTGGCCGTGTCCCACGCTGCCTGCAGTGTCACCTCACTCATGGAGCCCCCCAGGACAGTGTCCCCTCCTTGGAGTGTCCCCACAGCAGGGCCACCACGGCTGCTCCTCCTGGCCAGTGCCAGCACTGCAGCTGTCCCCTCGTGGCCACCCCATTGTCACCACCATGGCCATCGCTTGGTCACCACCACAGCTGTCCTCATGTCACCATGGTGGCTGTCCCCTGGTCACCATCACAGCCTTGTGTCACCACTGTGGCCATGTCCTGGTCACCCCGTGGCTGTCCCCTCATGGCCACTCTCGTCACCACCACGACTGTCCCTGTCACCGTGGTGGCTGTTCCTTTGTCACCACGGCCATCCCCTGGTCAGCACCGTGTCCATCTCCTGGTCACCGCTGTCCCCTTGTCCCCACGGCCACGCCCGTGTCCCCACAGAGGCCACAGCGGGGTGTCCCTGCCGTGTCGCACGGACCCTGCGGGGCCGTGGCTGAGGCCCCTGTGCCCCGCCGGGCCGCGGGAAGCGGGGCAGGGCCGTGGGAAGCAGGGCAGGGCCGCGTCCCCCGCGCTCCCCCCAGGGTTCCGTGGCCGCGGGCTCGGGTCAGAATCGCAGGGCGCTCACGGGCCGCGGGCCTCGCCCTGGGCCTCGCCTATCTGATCGACTCATCCCGCCCGGCCCAGCCGCACAGCGCCCCGGGGGCTTCGCGGCGCCTTCTTCTCATCTCGGCCCGGCCAGGCCCGGCCGATCAAATAAGATCAACGTGTAGGGGGAGGGGGCTGGCGCCTCACCTGCACACTCTCACACTCTTCGCACGCCCTTACACACTCACACGGCCCGTTACACGCTCCATTCACACACTCACACGCCCCACTCACAACTCACACATCACACTGCACTCCCGCCCGCGCCGCCGCCACTCCTCGCCCTCCACTTCCGGTGTGGCTCTTTATGTAGCGCGGCGCGCGGTGCACCCTGGGGACAGAGCGGTCAGACCCCGCCTCGCCGCACAGCGCCCCCTGGCGGCGGGAGGACCGCGACGCCCCCGACCCCACGGGCGGGGGGAACCGGGACCGGAGACCCCCAAACCTCCCGGGACAGACCCCACCACACACCCCATGGGATCCCCCTAAGCCCCACGGAACCCCCAGTACCCCATGGGATCCCCCTAACCCCCACGGAACCCCCAACACCCCATGGGATCCCCTAACCCCCACGGAATCCCCCAACATCCCATGGAACCTCCCAGCACCCTCTACAGCCCACAGCACCCCGCACAACCTCATGGGACCCTCCCCCCAAAACCCCCCAGAACCCCCAAGCTAAGAACCCATCCCCAAAGGACTCCCCCACAGTAACGCTCAGGCTGGGCAGCAGCCCCACAAGAACCCCCCGCTAAACCCCTGGGACCCTCAAATAGGACACCTACCCCGCAGGAGCCCCCCATGTCCCACAGGACCCCCCCAAAACCCCAGGACACTCCCAGACAGGACATCAGCCCCACAGGACCCCCTATGGCCCACAGAATCCTCAGACAGGACACCACAGGGACCCCCCTCCACCTCACAGGACCCCCCCTGACCCCACAGGACCCCCTCGAGCCCCCCTGACCCCACAGGATCACCCCCGACCCCACAGGACCCCCAGGCCAGCGCTGCCCCCAGGGGAGACCCCACTTTATTTACACGTGGTATTTACAACTTGGGGGGGGGGTCATTTTCCCGCCAGGACAGAGGGGAGACCCCCTGAGGGCCCCCAATTCCAGGGGTGAGGGCACAGCCCCCTGAAGAGGGGGGGGCCCCAGCCCCCCGTGGTCCCACAGGGCACAGTTTGATGCTCAGGGGGCACAGCTGGAAACCCCCCCCACCCCCTGCTCCAGAGAATTCCCAATAAATCCTTTCCCAAGGGTTTCAAGGGGCCCCAGTGACCTCCCCCGGGGCTGCCCTGGGGGAGTGGAGGGGGGTCATGGTGGTCCTGGGCTGGGGTTGGTACTGGGAAGTCTGGGGTTGGTACTGGGGGCTCTGGGGTTGGTACTGGGATGGTCTGGGGTTGGTACTGGGGGCTCTGGGGTTGGTACTCGGGGGTCTGGGGTTGGTACTGGAGGCTCTGGGGTTGGTACTGGGGGCTCTGGGGTTGGTACTGGGGGCTCTGGGGTTGGTACTGGGATGGCTGGGGTTGGTACTGGGGGCTCTGGGGTTGGTACTGGGGGCTCTGGGGTTGGTACTGGAGGGCTCTGGGGTCAGGATAGGGGGGCTCAGGTCGGTCCTGGGCTCTCAGAGGTTTCCAGGGTCAGGGCAGGGGTCTCTGGTTGGTCCTGGGCTCTGTCCTGGGGGTCTCTACATTTGGGATCCCAGGATCAGCACTGGGGGCTCTGCCCTGGGGTCTCAGGGTCAGTCCTGGTGTCTCAGGTTGGTACCAGAGCATTGGGGTCAGTCCCAGGGGTCTCTGGGGTCAGTGCCAGGTCCTAGGGGGGGGCCCTGGGGGTCTCTGGGGTCAGTGCCAGGTCTCAGGTGGGTCCCCAGGGTCGGTGCCAGGTCCCAGGGGGGTCCCAGGAGGGTCCCCAGGGGTCTCTGGGGTCAGTGCCAGGTCTCAGGTGGGTCCCCAGGGTCGGTGCCAGGTCTCAGCAGGGTCTCTGGGGGTCCCCAGGGTCGGTGCCAGGTCTCAGGGGGGTCCCTGGGGTCACTTCCCCAGCAGGACGTAGAAGGCCATGAGCAGGCAGGACACGGACACGGCCACGTGCAGGCGGGTCCCGATCACGGCAGCTGGGGGGGACACAGGGGGGGACATGGGGGAGGGTGAGACCCCCTGTCCCCAGCCTGGACCCCCTGACTCCATCCCAGACCCCAGTGCCCCAGCCCACAGCCCAGTGTTCCCATAACCCCCCCTGTACCCCAGTGTCGTCAGGGTTCCAGCACGCCCCTCCAGCCCCCCCACCCTTGTGGAGGACCCCCAGACCCCCACTGCCTCCAGTCTGTCCCCAAGTGCCACCAGTCTGTCCCCCAGTGTTCCCAGCACCCACACTCCTGTGCTCCCAGCACCCCCACCCCACTCTCCAGTGTTCCCAGTGCTCCCATCCTAGCCCCCAGTGCCCCACTGCCCCCTCACCCTTGTGGCAGCCCCCCAGAGCCCCCAGCCCCTCACCCTTGTGGCAGCCCCCCATTGCCCCCCCAGCCCCCATTGCCCCCCAGCCCCTCACCCTTGTGGCAGACCCCCAGAGCCCCCTCCTCTCGGACAGCAGCCAGGAGCGCAGCCGCGGCACCTTCCTCAGGTAGGCGCAGGTACAGACCAGGAGCAGCCCGAACACCAGCAGCCCGTCCAGCGAGTACACTGCGGGGGTGGCAGGCACCCGGACCTCAGAGCCCCTGGTACCCCTCAGCATCCCTTAAATACCACCCAGACTCCCCAGAGCCCCTCTTATCCCTCAGCACCCCTTAAACGACCCCCGGATACCCCCAGACCTCCCGGTCCCCTCAGGACCCGTTAACCCCCCTCATGACCCCTTAAATCCCCCCGAATTCCCCCAGAGCCCCTGGTACCCCTCAGGATCCCTTAACCCCCTCAGGACCCCTTAAATCCCCCAGCCCCCCAAAACCCCCTGGTACCCCTCAGGATGCCTTAAATCCCTCTCCGGACCCCCAGACCTCCCGGTCTCCTCACGACCTCTTAACCTCCCCCAGGACTCCCCCAGACCTCCTGGTACCCCTCAGGACCCCCCGAAGCCCCCTGGTACCCCTCAGGACCCCTTAAACCCCTCAGGACCCCTCCATTCCCCACCGTTGGTCATGGTGACCCCAGAGCCCCCTCAGGAACCCCCAAATCCCCTCAGACCCTCACCGTTGGTCATGGCTATCCCAAGGACCCCCAAATCCCCCCAGACTCCCAAACCCTCAAATCCCCAATCCCCTCCCCTCACCGTTGGTCATGGCTGCCCCTCCCCCCGCCCCCTGCGGCCAACGCGACACTGGCAGCGCCCGCAGGCCCGACCAGCCGAGCGCCGAGCGCCGCAGGGCAGCGGAGGAGGGGGGCAGGCGGCCTCAATCGAGCGCCTATTGCAGGGAGCGACACCAGTATCGCCCCAGTGCCCGCCCAGCGACACCAGTAACGCCGCGCCCCGCAGAGCCTCGGCTCGCCCGGGAGCTACCAGGGCGCTCGGATGGCTGTGCACGGTCCTTATCTCAGACGCCCAGTACCCCCCAGTGCACCCAGTAACCCCCCAGTGCTCCCAGTAACCTGCAGTCCTCCCAGTAACCCCCAGTAACCTCCAGTCCACCCAGTAAACCTCCAGTCCACCCAGTAAGCCCCCAGTGCACCCAGTCTCCATCCCAGTACCCCAGTAACCCCCAGTCCTCCCAGTAAGCCCCCAGTGTACCCAGTCCCAATCCAGTGCCTCAGCGACCCTCTCAGTGCTCCCAGTAACCTTCAATACTCCCAGTAACCCCCCAGTCCTCCCAGTAACCTTTAGTGCACCCAGTCCCCATCCCTGTGTCCCAGTGACCCTCCCAGCATTCCCAGTAAGCTCCCAGCACTCCCAGTAACCACCAGTCCTCCCAGTAACCCCCAATGCACTCAGTCCCCATCCCAGCCCCCAATTACCCCTCAGTATTCCCAGTCAGTCCCCAGTGACCCCCAGGTTCCCAGTAACTCCCAGTCTAACCATAAGCTCCCAGTTCCCGTCCCAGCTCTCCCAGTAACCCCCAGTCCCCCCAGTAACCCTGGGTCCCCCAACAGCTCTCAGTCCCCCCAGTAATCCCCAGTCTCCCAGTAGCTCCATGTGCCTCCCAGTCCCATCCCAGCATCCCCCACAGGTGTCCCCAGTGACCCCTAGTGCACCCAGTAAGCTCCCTAACCCAGTGTCAGTCCCAGTAACCTGCCCTAGTGTCCCAGTGGGACTCAGTGCATCCAGCTATGACCCCAGTTCCCTCAGCAGTCTCCAGCGTTCCCAATATTCCCAGTATTTCCCAGTGCCTCCAGTGAGAGCTGAGGAAGCGCCACCAGGGGCTGGGGAGGTCTGGGATGTCCCCCTGTCCCTGTCCCTGTCCCTGTGTGTCTGTGCCAGGCTCTATCCCTGCAGCCAGCCCAGCCTTCACCTCAGCAGCCAGCCCTGGATCCAGGAATGCTCCAGCCATCTGTGTGTCCATCCACCCACCTAGCCACCCACCCATCCATCCATCCTCATCCATCCATCCATGTATCCATCCATGTCATCCTCAGGCCATGTATCCACCCATCCAGCCAGCTGTGTATCCATGAATCCTCCATCCATCCATCCATCCCTCCATCCATCCGTCCATCTCTCATCATCCATTCATCCATCCATCCCTACCTATCCATCCATCCATCCTATCTATTCATCTCATTCCACCTATCTCATTCTCTCTTCCATCTATCCATCCATCTATCTATCTATCTCTCTATCTATTCCTCTCATCCATCCATCTACTCTATCTCTATCTATGTCTATCTATCTATCTATCTATTCTATCTCATCTATCCATTCATCTATCTATCCATCCATCTCATCCATCCATTCATCCATCCATCCATCCATCCATCCATTCATCCATCCATTCATCCATCCATCCATCCATTCATCCATCCATCCACGTATCCAGGAATGCTCCATCCATCTATCCATCCATGTACCCATGAATGTTCCATCCATCCATGTATCCATCCATCCATCCATCCATGTATCCATCCATCCCTTCCTCTCTCCATCCATCCCTCCATCCATCAATCTGTACATCCATCTCTCCATTGATGTATCCATCCATCCACCCATCCATCCACCCATCCATCCATCCATCCATGTATCCATGAATCTTCCATCCATCCATCCATGTACCCATACATGCATCCGTTCATCCATCCCTCCATCCACGTATCCATCCAACTACCACTCCTGGTACATCCCAGGGACAGTTCCCGGGCTGTCCCCAGTCCTGGCACACCCTGGGGTGGTTCCTGGTGTGGTAGTGCCGGTGTCCCAGTGTCCCCAGGGCGGTGACCCCCACGGTGCCTGGGCTGGGGGGGTGGCAATGCCCCTCCCCCACCTGCCCCTGCCTTGGCTCCACCCACTCAAACCATCAAAGGAACGGTTTTGTGGGGTTTTCTTGATGCAAAAGGGACGGGACAGGGACAGGGTGGTGACAGGAGTGGGGACAGGGGTGGGGACAGTGATGGTGACAGGGGTGGGGACAGCTCAGTCCCACCAGCCTGGCGGTGCCCCCACAATGCCTTCAACCTGCCCTGCTGGCACGGGGCATTCCTCACTCCCAGCTCTTCCCAATCCTCCTTCAGGGGTTTCTTTCTTCTCCTGGTGGGATTTTTCCCATTTCCATTGTTAAATCCCATCCCATCCTGTACTGTACCTGTGCTGTGCTGTGCCATCCATCACATCCCACCCAATTCCATCCCATCCCATTTATCCCATTTGTCCCATCCCATTTATCCTATCCCATCCCATTTATCCCATCCCATCCTATATATCCCATCCCATCCTATATATCCCATCCCATCCCATCCCATCCCATCCCATCCCATCCCGTCCCGTTCCGGGGCCGGCTTTCTCTCCCCGCTCCTCCCCCGGTTCAAGCCCAGACGCGCCCGGGCCGGGCGCGGCAGCGGCGGCTGCGGCGGGGCCCAGGTAAGGGATCCCCCTACCCCGGAGACCCCTCAGGACCCCCTGCGACCCCAGAACCCCCTGAGCCCCCGGGATCCTTCGCCCCCCGGGATCCTCCTGACCCCCGGGATCCCCCTGCCCCCATCCCGAGGGTCCGACGTGCAGTGCCCTGGGGAAACTGAGGCACGACCGCGCTGAACAGCTGGGTGAGACCCCCCCGCGCCCCCTCCCACCACTTCACTCCCCTCAAAGAGTTCTGAGGGGTCTCAGGGTGCTGGGACCCTTTCCCGGCTCCCACCCCCCGGGAGCCGCCGGAGCTCGGAGGGAAAAGAAAGGAAAACTGGGAGAGGCGCCCAGCGAAACCGCCCCCCCCGCCGCGCCTTGAGCACCTTTGACCCCCGAGGTGTCCCCTGTCTCCTCGCGCTGTCCGCGCCTTTGTTTACGGTAGGACCTACAGGAAGGCAAAGCAAACACAGCCTCGCCTTCCCGCCGGGGTTTTTTTTGGGGGCACCCATGGGTGCTGCCGCGGGGGCGGGGTCGAGCTGTGTCCCCGCTGTCGCCCGCAGGGTCCCGCGCGCCATGGGGAGGGTGAGCGACACGGACAGCGGGATCATGCTGCTCTCGGGTGAGGACGGGGGGCTTTGGATGCCCCCCACCCACGGGCGCTCTGATACACGCGCCCCCCCCCGCACTGGGCTGAGGAGGGGGCGCTGGGTGCGGGGACACCCCAAAGCTGACTGGGGGAAATGGGGGACGCGGAGGTGCCCTGGGTTTGGGGCACCCAAAGCGGGGGGGGCTGGGCAGGGTTTGACTCAGCCGGGCTTGGCGTGGGGGGGGTGAGTCAGGGTGAAACCTTCCCCCTGTGCCCCCCCCGCGGGTGGCCAGGGGGGGATGGAACACCCGTGGGTGCTGCGGGGGGGGTCACGGGTGTCCCGAGAGAGCCAGAACACCCGTGGGTGCTACCGGGGGTGGTCATGGATACCCCGGGGCGGGTGTTGGAACACCCGTGGGTGCTGCCGGGGGGGTCATGGATATCCCGGGGCGGGTGTTGGAACACCCAGGGGTGCTGCCGGGGGGGGTCGTGAGTGTCCCGGCAGAGTCAGAACACCCATGAGTGCTGCCTGGGGGGGTCATAGAGGGGCCTGGAACACCCGTGGGTGTTGTTGGGGGGTGTCACGGCTGCTTTTTCCTCCCCCCGGGCTGGGCACACACCGACTGGGGGGGCCCGGTGGGGGTGGGGGGGCTGTGCCCACGTGTCCCCCGTGCCCCCATGGGTCCGTGCCCACGCCCGTGTGCCCCGCAGGCCCGGCCAGCCCGGAGCCCCCCCCGAAGGAGCGGGTGCAGGCGGGGCGGCGGCAGCAGCAGGCGCTGGAGGCGCGGCTCGAGGGCTGCGTGCAGGAGCTGCGGCGGCTCTGCCTGCGGGAGGCGGTGAGAGGGGCCGGGACCCCGCTGGGACCCCCCCCTAACCCTGAGAGGGACCGGGACCCCGCTGGGACCCCCCCCCGGACCTGAGAGGAGCGTGGGACCCCGCTGGGACCCCCTATCTGCTCTGAGCACCGCTCAGTGTCCCAGCAGTGTCCCCGTACTGTCCCCACTCAGTGACCCCCACCTGGGACCCCTCAGTGACCCCTGAGAGGCCCCGCAGAGCCCCAGCTCAGTGACCCCTCAGTGTCCCCTCAGAGTCCCCGTGCTGTCCCCACTCAGTGTACCCCCCATTCTGCTCCATGGCACTCCAGTGTCCCCTCAGTGTCCCATCAGTGTCCCCGTGCTGTCCCAGGAGCTGACGGGGACGCTGCCCCGCGAGTACCCACTGAAGGCGGGTGAGAAGCCCCCCAAGGTCCGGCGCAGGATAGGGGCCGCCTTCAAGCTGGATGAGATCGTTGTCCTGCGTGGGGTGGTGAGGGGGGCCCGGGGTGCAAAGGTGGAGGGGTGGTGGGGACCCCCCCTCAGCCCATCCCATTCATCCCATCCCATTTATCCCACCCCATCCCATCCCATCCCATCCCACCCCATCCATCCCATCCCATCCCATCCCATCCCATCCCATCCCATCCCATCCCCATCCCATCCCATCCCATCCCATCCCATCCCATCCCATCCCATCCCATCCATCCCGGGGCTGTGGGAGGTGCCCAGGATTCCCGTGGGGATGTCACTGTCCC